TGGTCATAGGTTTGAACAATGTTATTTTCAGTAGGGTTCTAGGAGGTTTAATTCAGCAAAACCTATGGTAGTTTAGTTGTGGGGAGCCTTACATCACTGGGAAGTCGAGTAAGTGAGTGAGTGAGTGAATGTTTAGCGCCACTGTCAGCGATGTTGTTGGCACACATGTCTTCACAATGTCTTGTAAACTGAGTTGGGTCGCTGATAATGTCATGCAAATATATGATAATCCTCATTATGCATGAAACTCTAGTTGATTTGAAAATATGTTTTTCAATTATTAATCTCCAAATTATATTTGATAGAGATGTTTTGATAGAATTTACATGATAAGTGTATTCTAAAGCATACTCAGTCCAGATGTTTTTCGACATTACAAAAATTTAAAAACAACAGATAAAAGTATTGATTTTTTGTTCATTCATCGTCCATTCTTCCCCATAGAAAGACAAGCTCTCTTCATTTTGTGTTTGACGTCGAGCTTTGTGTGTTGAAACTGGCCGTGTCTGTCCTCGATTAGATGTTGACAGTCAGTGGTCCGGGATAAACAACTCCACACACAGTAACCTGTAGCTGTCAGTAGTTTTGTCCTAGCGTCTCACTGGCAAAACAGCGGATTTGCATCGCGGTCAGCTGACTTGGACTGAGGTTTGTGACACCTTTCTGTGAACACCTGGTGTCATCACTATTTCATAATGTTTTATAAACACATGTTCATGATTTGCCGGTAGTGGGAATCATGCAAGTAGAGATTTCTCATTATTATGGGAATATGTTTTGTTGGGTTTGTTCACGTAGTTTATCCACTCTTTGTGAGTTTGGTGCTGACACTATGAAAGGTTTTATTACAGTTAATGCAATTTGTGTGTTGTAAAATTCTGATGTGCACAGATGTTTGACATGTTCGGAGGCATTGTGTCATGAGTAATGGCCATCAGTGAATCAGGAAGATTGTTTATTTTAATCTGTAAGCTTTTGAGTACATAGCACTTATCTTAGCCCTGCCTTGTGGATGTATTTCAGCTGAAGGTGCTGTAAACAGGGGGGGCGTTTCAAACTGATAAAGGATTATTAAACAAGAGGCAGATCTACTAATAATTCCAACGTGATTGAAATATGCACTATGAATAAATATGCTGGCATTTACAAACATAGAGCTTTGGACCAAATCTATCATAAAGTTATATATTTTATTTTAGTTAATCGAAATCCATGATTAAATGTGGAATGCATTTTGCATATGGAAACTGTTTATTTTGTGCCTTTGGCACATCCTACATCATTTCCCTTGCTGAGGTCATGTGAGGATGTGATCAGAATAACCTCCAGCATTGTGTATTTGTCTTATCAGGAGAGCTGATGTAGCAGGGTTAGAAGGTAATGTTCTGATTGTATGCAGCACTATCCTAACAGAGGGCACAGTGTGAAGATCTGGGTTTAAGGCACAGTGTGAAGATCTGGGTTTAAGAATTGATCTTCAGGAACCCATGCTTGTCGTAAGAGGCGACTAATGGGATTGGGTGGTCAGGCTTGCTGACTTAGTTGACACATGTCATCAAATTCCAGTTGTGTAGATCAATGCTGTTGATCACTGGATTGTCTGGTCCAGACTCGATTATTTACTGACCGCCACCATATAGATGGAATATTGCTTAGTGTAGCGTAAAACTGACTCGCTCACTCTACTTCTTGGTGTAGATAGCGAGTCCAGAGGGTGTTTGATCCAGGAAAAATCTCCACCAACTTGGAGGCCAAGTAACTCATTGCCTGTCATCATGTTGATTTAATGCAGTCTGTGATGTTTGATGTGATCTTGACATTGTTACGTCTGTTCCTGTAGTCAGGGAAACTGTAGATATGTCTGAAAACCTTTGAGATGTTCGATAGAGATACAAAGAACTCAATTACAGACCATATAGCTGTAGTATTGCTGAGTACGGCGGCATAAAACTAAACTTGCTCACTTTCTTAGGCTTTGCATATTTGTGTGCTAAGTTGCCTCCCCTGTGACAGATGGAAACACCCTGATTGAATCCAAGTTCAAACCAATTGTGTATCTTGATTTGTCAGCACCATACCACCACTCACGGGTTCACCAATTCAGTAAACATTCGAGAGCTGCATCACATCAGATTTCATTCCACATTCAGCTGACAGGCCGTGATGAAACTGGAATATTGTTCAAAGCAGCGTTAAACGCATCCCCCTGTTGAGGAAATGTTTGAGATGGTCAATGACCTTCTACGCAGTCAGTGTCTTCAAAGACTACTCCATCAGAGAAGCCCTGGCACGCTGTTTGTTTCTCCATCTCTCCCCCGCACTTGGACGAGAACTTGCCACCAGTATTGATTGATTCCTCCACCGTGTGATCCTCCAATACATGATAGGAAGTACATATCTGCTCTTGTGACTTATGGGCTTTGGCCACTCAAGGTGCAGTAGATCATCTATACACTTGCTTTGTGGTCGGTTGACTGTAGTAGTGGTAGTGTCAATGGCAAAATATGATACAGTTGGTGCTGGGTGATGGTATTTGTCTCTGGTAGGTATTGTGTATGTTGTTGGTTAGGATATGAGCTGTATATCCTCTGTTTGTTGGGGGCTATGGAGGCTGCATCTGCATCCAAAACCTTAAACCTGGCCGATTGATCCAGCATCTTTATCACCCATACAACTATATATGTATTGTGTGGATATTTTACAAATGGCCTGTTTGTTGGCTGATGCCTCTCTTGAAGACCTGAAATGTTGATGTGTTCATAAATTGTCTTTATTGGAGGTTGGTGTGAAGACTTAATCTGGTCAGCAATTGTCATGGTCTTTTTATTGTTCACTCCTATTCCGCCTCTGATTTAAGTAGAGGAAGTGAGTGCTGGTTTTCATCTGAAATGCTGGAAATGGAATTCTCTCTGTTGATAGAAAGTAAAGATGTCGCAATGTAAGAGTTCCTTATCATGACAGGCTAACTGTATCTGCATCTAAACCTTAAATCTGGCATCCCCATCGTCTATACAACTACATCTATACATATGTCTTGTGTGGATATTTTACAAATGGCTTGTTAGTTGGCTGGTTCCTGTCTTGAAGACCTCTTGTGTTGACATGTTCATAACTGTCTTATTTTAGGTTTGTGTGAAGACTTAATCTGATCAGCAATTCTCAAGGTTACTTTTACACCGTTACTGATTTACTTATAAATACATGTAGTATTAAATACATATATAAGGAAGTGAATGCTGGTTTGGATCTGAAATGCTTGAAATGGAATTCTCTGTGTTGATACAAAGTAAAGATGTCGGCATTGTAAACCTTGTCATCTTGACTGGATAACAGTAAATGTGATGTGGGTCAATCAGTGAGATTGGTGTAAGTGTGAGTGAGGGGTGGGTATGGGGAGAATATAAGATCTGTAGGTAAGAGATTTGACAGAGGTGTGATCTATATTTTATGACATTTTTACAGTCTGTGCTATAATGGTTTGAGTTTACAAGCCAAACACAGCTCTTAATTAATAATACCGTTCAATAGATTTTAGTGTTTGACTATAGTAACGATGCTTACAAGATAGAAAAGAAAACTTGGGCTACAGAATTGTGGCTATGAAATGTGTAATCTCTGAAAACATTTCTGTAAATAATTATGTTTTATTAAATTAACAAACCAGTTCTTTGCTGTTTTCAAAAATCAAACTGTGGAATCAAGGAAAATAGATTTGGTTTAGTATAATCTAGAGTATAACTTGTTTATCTTCGATGGTCATGGCACATAACTGTAATTCATCAAGGGGTACTTATGATGACCAGTGTTGCTTTCCACCAGGGCTATTGACATGTGATGGCACCAAGTAAGACAACCTCAGGATGTGGAAGTGTTACAAGCCAACATGTGGGCAAAGTTTGTTAGTATTTTCACTGTTTCAGTGACAATTTAAAAGCAGAGTCAGATTAAGTTTTGTGGTTTATTGTTGAGATGACCACACTCACTAATGTTTCACAGTATAAATCACTTTGTGGAACTGGGCAGGTCTATGACCAGACAGGTCAATGTTTAAATTGCCAGTTATGATAAGCTGAACTTGCTTTTGGGATCTCACATCATCGATGGCATGGTGATGACACTCAGTCAAAGCACCCAACATGTGTGGAAAGATGCCTTTCAGTGATGCAGCACTTAAGTTTTGTGTTTATTGTTTATGTCAAGCCTGTGTTCCTGTGTTTCTATTGTCATTGCTTAACCTGGCACCACAAATATCTGGGCCCCGGTTTACAAAACAATCACTGGCGCCTCATAGTTCTCCTGGCCCATCAGGGACCGCCTCCATGGTGTAGTGGTTAGAGGGTCTGCCCGGAGAGCGGAAGGTCGCGGGTTCGATCCCCGACCGCGTCATACCAAAAGACGTTAAAATATGTTACTTGTTGGTCCCTGCCTGGCACTCGGCATTAATGGGTACAACAAGGACTGGTCGGCTCAGAGTCAGTATAATGTGTCTGAGTGGGGTATTTTATGCTTCACTGCGGCATGGTATCTCAGTGGGCTAGCACTATAAAACCAGCTTAAGTCTGGGCTAGTACAAGCAGCCGCACATACACATACACACGCATGCACGTCGTCATATGAGCGAAATATTCTCAAGCACAACGTTAAACCCAATTTCACCTCACCTGACCCGTCAAGATCCAGATTAGAATTGGTTTTAAGCAACCCATACTCATCGTATGAGGCTTACACAATCAGGTGGTCAGGCTCAATGACTTGGCTGACACATGTCATCGTATCCCAGTTGCATAGATCAAAGGTCATGTCAATCACATGATTGTCTGGTCCAGACTCAATTACTTACAGACCACTGTCATATGGCTGCAGTATTGCTTAGAGCGACACTAACAATCAGACAAAATGGTGTAACCTGAATTTCATTTCAGATAGATACTGAAGTCTTACTACAGACCCAGACAGGTGTGCTGAGAATGTTGGATGTTAATCCTGTGTCTCTATTTCAGATTATCGGCATATGGAGGAGGCACATGCATCAGAGACCACAGAGGAGGCGGACCACCACCAGCAGAGAGTCATCCGAATCAATGGCCCGCAGCTCACCAAGTTCTGCCATAATGAAATCAGGTGAGCTCACTATAGTCTATAGTGGCAGTGACGGTTTACAGTAGTGTAACGACCCATTCATTGACAGTATGTATAGGCACTAGGGGTGGGTATTGCAGAGAATTTTCATATTGCGATATATTGCGATGCAGAAGCATATATTGCGATATATATTGCGATATGTATTGCAATATATTGCAAGAATTATTTTTTTAACAAGAACTACTTATAATCGAGTTAATGCTTTATTATAAACAAAAACACAACAAAATCACTATGATTGATTAACCTTTTATAAAAACTTTTAATCATGACAAAATAAAAATGTAAGTAACATTTGGCACTAATGAAACAGGGAAAAGAACAACTAAAAACCCGGAAATATCCAAAGATTTCCGAGTGTCACAAAGTTTTCCGAATGCATGTCAAAATACCGGTTTTCGATCAGCGTATCGCAATACATATCGTTTTCATGTCTGAACCGGTTATATTGCGTAGCCCTAATAGGCACACACAATAATTTGGTTATTTCTGGCTGTGCCAACACAATTTGAATCTACGACCTGGAACCTGTCTCCCAGCATCACTTGCTGTACATTTTAGTGTTGTTATGTTAAAAGCTGTGCTTACATTTAAAACATTGTATCTTTTCTTGGGTTTTTGATGTTTTTGTGATTCTGCTACAACACTTGAATACAATCTGCTACTAACTTTAACCACAAATTTGGAACCAGATATAATTCTGTTCGGTTTAGTAACCACTAATGATATTAGTACATATGATTCTAAATGCTCCATAAATGATAAATGCCAAGTTTGGACTTGATGTCTCCAAAATTTTTGGCATAGACTTCAGTAGATTATCATTAAACAACAAGTTACGTATTACTTACGTCAGCCTCAAATTACCAGCTCAGAAACCTCTAAGAGACAGTTGGGCACATGGTTGTCTTGTAATGTTGATACCATTATAACACAACTTTCAAATTTGGTATTTCCTGTAGACCCAAAACAGACCTCATCCGAGCTCAAGCATTGTAATGGTTTTGTGTGTCATCAACTTAGATCACACTTGTATTGTTTTAGTTGTGTTTTAGTGAACATTTTAATATTTTTAAAACTATAAGTTGAATGTAGAAATTGTCATGTATGCAACACGTCTGCTCGGAAAGGTGAAGGTCATTGGTTCGATCCCTGCCTGTGTCATACCATCCAGAAAGCAGAAGGGTTAACACTTCAGATCATCTGTAGTCCAGATAAGGACAGACACAAACAGACACATGCATGATCATCACTATGTCAGTGCAGTGATCTTAAACGTGTCCTAAACTCACATGTCATCTCACTAATTATGGATTATTTCTGTTTACAGTACAGCCAAGTACAACATCCTAACATTTCTCCCAAAGTTCCTCTTTGAGCAGTTCCGGAAATATGCCAATATATTCTTCCTTTTCATCGCCCTTATACAGGTGAGAGCGACAGTAACGTGGCAATTTGAGACCAACAAGCCATTGTACAAAGCAACCTTAGAGCTAAGACTACCATAAGTCTATGTTAAGGTATGGGAGTTATGGTCACCTTAGCGCTAAGACTACCTTACGTCTATGTTAAGGTATGGGAGTTATGGTCACCTTAGAGCTAAGGTCACTTTGTACAACAGCACTCTGGTCTTAAATAATTTGTGAATGAAACTCTTAGGACACTGATAGAAACAAGGCGCATTCACCTATGAAGATGTAACCAGTTGATTTCTACCCACGTGACAAGTCGGGGCGGTGGGGTAGCCTCGTGGTTAAAGCATTAGCTCGTTCCCAGTTGGGTACATTGTGTGAAGCCCTTTTCTGGTATCCCCTGCTGTGATATTGCTGGAATATTGCTAAAAGCGGCTTAAAACTAAAACTCACTCACTCGCAAGTCAAGTTATCATGGGAGTTTGTCACCTTAGCCTGGGCTTAAGTCTAAAAGTCACTCACTCGCAAGTCCAGTTATCATTTTGTGTTTGTCACACCAATATCTGGGTATGTTTCCCAGCAAGGAGACAATGTTTAAAGCCTGTTTCTCCTGCCCCTACCTTTATATGGCTGCCATACTGGAGTACAGACTTCAACTATGATTACTTACTCACATGTTTTGTGTTTCAGCAAATCCCAAATGTCTCCCCAACGGGACGCGATACACAACTGCACTACCTCTCCTGCTCATTCTCATGGTGTCCGCCATCAAGGAGCTCATTGAAGATTTTGTAAGTCAACATTTGCATTGCATTCTCCTGAGTCAAGCTGCGTCTCAGAAATGGTTTTATCAGTTACTTTCTTTGTAAGAAGTTCACTATTTCAGTGGGAAGATCCATTTGAGGATCGATCTTCGGCTTTAATTAGTGGAGTTAATTATACCTAATGTGTGAACCAGCACAGCCAGCGAGTATAAATATTTGTAATCATTGTCCAGTTACTTCCTCGTACTAAAAATACAGCATAAAATTATTGGCATAAACGTTTCCTCAGGCTTGTGCTAGCCATTTCCTCCTCCACTTCGTGGTTTATTACAGACTATCCTTAGAAAAAATAAAAGAAAATAAAGGAGAGATATTTCCCTTGGGTGGTATCCTGATGAGGAGTAGCAGTTATTTCCCTTGAGAAGCTCACTCTGAAGTCTGCCATATTGCCAGTCATATACAGTTACGTTTGTTTCATCTTACTAATCATTCAGCACAAATATAACCAAATGCTGTATAATCAGATTTGAAATACAACCTGAAAGTTAAAATATCAAAATTAAAGAAAAATAAATTTGACACAAATATGTTGTATGGGAATTTCATGTAGTAATTTCGTAATATATGAGGATCTTTAACATGGGGATTCAGTATCCACGCTGCATTTGAACTAGATTGTGAACTTGTACTGCAGGGTATTCTGCATGATGTGATTGTAGCATTAGTCATGCATGTGATCAGAATTGTCCACAGTAATGAATTAGCTTCAGTTTTAATGCAATAAGACTAAGTAGGTCAGTGAACAGTCAGTACAGTATAGATAATCCTGAGTTGGAACAGAGTGACATTATTCCTGAGATTAACGTAACAGATAGGAAAGTTAGTCTTGTAAAACTGCTTATTTTGATGTACTTCAATTTAGATGTAGATTTCAATATTTTCATTTCACAAATATGTTGACATCACCTATGTGTTTTAATCTAATTTTGATTGTCTTTATTCCAAAGTCCATTCACAAAACCAGTGGTTAGGTTTATCAGGTTTGGATGAAAATTTCCTGTAATATTTGTATTTGTTGATTAAAGACATGTATATCAAAGAGTAAAATCTTTACATGGATTTAAGCATGTGCTATAACTGATTTCAAACTGTTTAAGAGAAATGCTCTGATATCTTAATGATAACATGATTTTTGGGTTGGTTGTGTAAGCTTAGCAACATAAAGTTTGCAAGTACATTCATATTGGTAATATTGAAGCAGGTTTTGAGGAAAGAGAATTGCACAGATGTGAATAGAAGTATTTCACAATATTTAAGAATTACAAGTTTTCAAACAAACATCAAATAGTGAGGAGAAGACTTATTTTATTGAACCATTGTTCTCACTTCATGATTCAATTCAAAGAAATTCCACGTTTCATATTTACTTATTCCTGTTACCTGAGTTTTTGTTTACATGTATTTGCAGAAACGACACAGAGCAGATGATGCAGTAAATAATAGAAAAATTAATGGTAAGTATTTTTCATTTTTTCCCTCTTAGCTGCATCCTTGATTATTTTGTCATTTGTGTGTCATGTCATTGCCCTACAGATTGTTGTTTGAATGTGAGTTAATGAGGTGAAATTGGGTTTAACGTCGTGCTTGAGAATATTTTGCTCATATGACGACGTGCATGCGTGTGTATGTGTATGTGCAGCTGCTTGTACTAGCCCAGACTGAAGCTGGTTTTATAGTGCTAGCCCACTGAGATACCATGCCTCAGTGAAGCATGAATACCCCACTCAGACACATTATACTGACTCCGAGCCGACCAGTCCTTGTTGTACCCATTAATGCTGAGCACCAGGCAGGGACCAACAAGTACCATATTAACATCTTTTGGTATGACGTGGTCGGGGATTGAACCCGCGACCTTCTGCTCTCCGGACGGATGCTCTAACCACTACACCATGGAGGCGGTCATCACACTATAAAAACTTCAGATTTTCAACAGAAGTCCTCTTCACTGTCAACTATACATAATGAGTTGTACAAGTAATAGTACCGACACTTCATGCCCACATGAGAAGTGGGAAGACCTCACTTCCTTCCTGTGCATCCTCAATTACTTGGTGTCCAATATGGTCACTATATTTTGATAATTACCCTAGGGTCATTAAAACTAGTAGTTCAGTTCAGAGCCCAATTTGAGTGGCATAATGCAAAAGAAGCCATCCAATCACTTTGCCCTTATCAGCACGAGACATTCTCTGCTAAATTAGAAATGGTGACAGAGATGGTCATGTGACTTCTGGAAAGGAAGTTACAGTGGCAAAAGGATGCAGGGAGTTTATCCTTCCTGAGTGGAGATTTAATCAAAGATGATAGTCCTGTTGTGACCATTGGTTCACTATGAATGATGCAGTGGGAGAGTGAGTGAGTGAGTGAGTTTTACACCACATTAATATAACCTATATCAGCCTGTTAGGAATCCAGGTCAGAATGGATCCCTGGGACCTTGTTCTTATGAAGGGAGTAAATTGTGGATCAGGTGGTCAGTGAGTTAGATGATTGGGTGGCAGGCAACACTCTATAGCAACCCAGTCCACATTAGTCTGTAATGACAACTCTGGTACTTGTTTCTACCAGAATCTCTTGTGCTGCTAATTGATTCTTTGATCTAAGAATTGTCAGACAATCCGAACTGGCTTTGAATTATACATACTTGTTTGAAGCAGTGTCTTTTTGTAATTGGAAATCTACTTGGCAGAAAGTGCAATTTCTTCTTGTTAGTAAATGGTGTGGAGATTCTGGTTAAAACAGATCTTCAGTATTATAATGTACTGTTCTTGGGTTCGAGTGGTTTATGCATATTATTGTATGTGAATGAGTGAGTGAGTTTAGTTTTACGCTGCACTCAGCAATATTCCAGCTATATGGCGGCGGTCTGTAAATAATCGAGTCTGGACCAGACAATCCAGTGATCAACAGCATGAGCATGGACCTGCGCATTTAGGAACCGATGACATGTGTCAACCAAGTCAGCGAGCCTGACCACCCGATCCCGTTAGTCGCCTCTTATGACAAACATGGGTAACTGAAGATTCTTTCTAACCCAGACCTTCACGGGTTATTATTGTATGAGTACTTTGATGCTCATGATGTCAGTCACTGGATTGTCTGGTCCACACTTGATTATCTGCAAGCTACCAATATATAGCTGAAATATTGGTGAGTGCTGCATGAGCCTACAAACAAACCATTTAAGGGACATCCTGCATGCATTGTACCTTGTGAGACCATTTTGACCCTGAAAGTGTGTTTTGAATGATTGAAATGAAGCTTGAATTTACCATGTTCACCTTTCTAAGCTAATGTGGTATGACTGAATGATGTTAGACTGTGATACTAATTTACTGTGGCCTTCAATCAGTGACAATACCACAGAAGATGCAGTAATATTCCGTAAGAGGGCATGAAAAGAAAAGTGGTCGCAGATGCCACAATTCTCTGTGGAGAGTTCAATCTTGGAGGTCCAGGTTCGAATCCCAAATTCACCTGATTATGATTATATATACCTATGTTTATGGGCTGCTTGAAAGTCATAGCCAGCAGTCCAAGGTGCCACAGTTCACTGTGGAGAGTTGTAAAGTAGCCATGCTTGTGGTTTTCACCGGCTGTCGTAATCACCAGAGACCTGCAGCACTTCAGTCGTCCTCCATCATTAAGCTGACACGCTATAACACAGCAGGAATACTGTTTCAAGCTGCATCATGAATCAAGATTCTGTTTAAGCTGCATACTCACTTCCTGAAAGTACACACAACGACATCCCTTTGCATTCGTTATCCTGGCACTGTAACTGTGTAGCTCTATGTAAACTTAAGTGATTTAATCAGTGAGCATGGGTTTTGGGCACCACTTTTTATCAGTATTCCAGAGTTATCACAGGGGGGGACACCCAAAATGGGCTTCACACATTGTACCCATGTGGAGAATCCAACTCTGGGTAAATGCTTTAACCACTTGGCTACATCACCACCCCTGTGACTTGAGTAACATGTGAAGCTAAGTGAGAGATTGAGTGAGCATGGTGTTACATGGCTCAGCAATATTCCATCGATATCATGGTGGATGAAAAGCAACTCAAGTAACAGTCATGGCAGACATAAAGTGCCCCAGTCGCTTTATGACTGAAGACCTCAATAATTGCCTTCCACCTCCCTATTGATTGGAAGCAACATGTGTTGACCCACTGCTGTTACGGCTACACCTGTGACAGTGTGACGTGATTGTGCTGCCTCCAGCAGAGATTTATCATAGCCCTGTGATGAATTCTGTTTGTGTTTGATTTGAGTGAGTGAGTGATAATTGCTTAATGTCGCATCAGAAATCTTGTAGCTATTTGCAGCAAGGTTCTATTTAATATTTAATTGATGTTGGCAGGGATAGACAAGTAGTTGATGCACATCATCTAAATTGAGCTATAAATAGGCATTGGTGTAATAGGGGCAGTGGGGTAGCCTAGTGGTTAAAGTGTTCACTCGTCATGTCGAAGAGCCGGTTTGATTCCCCACATGGGTACAATGTGTGAAACCCATTTCTGGTGTCCCTCACCGTGATGTTGCTGGAATATTGCTAAAAGCAGCGTAAAACTACCCTCACTGACTCATTGGTAAAATAAAGTGTAAAGAATATCAACACAGACCCTGTATTTTGGGCTCCTTTGTTTTATGCTGTAGGTTACACACAAGAACAAAATCTAAAGACTTTTGACAATAAAATTTTGAGCCGACTATGTTTTGCAATAAGGTGAAGCAACGCAAGATTTTATCATCGCTGTTTAAAAGAAGTGAATGATAATATGAATACAGTTCTTGATTTAAACAAAAAGACTCTATCAATTATCTCTTCAGATCTTGCTTTCTCAAAACCTGTTTTTTACAGTATGCACACCAGTTTGTACATTTGTACCACCATAAAAAGAATTCAAGTCAGTTCATAAGAAGTAAATGTTTTGGCTAAGAAGCATTACATCTAAAATATATAGATATTGTTCATAGCCAAACGGCGCACATGCTCGTATATATATTATATAGAGACATCAAATTCATGCTTCACTGCAACTAGCCGCGTTAATGGTATTATCTCAGTGGGCTAGCACGACCTAATATAAAACCAGCTATCCATAAAGTTTGTTCTATTGTACAACTTCTAAAAAATGCCACTCACAGAAGTTCACCATTACATGCGTATACATACTTCACACACATGTCCGCCTAGCACTCTTATAAAACCAGTTTCAGTGAGTACTGGGACACATAGCAGCCAAATATTCTCAAGCACTGATGTAAAACCCAATTTCACCTCACCTCACCAAACGCACATGCTTAAGAGTATAGCTCCTAAAATAGATTCTACTCTCACTTGAACATATAGCTGATATATTTTGCCAAGTCCTGTATAGCAAAGGGCATCAGTCAGCTCTGGTCTGATATACAGAGTTTCACAATGAATATTGAAATTTTAATATTGAGTTTGCCATATTCTCCTGAAATGCTCCTGGCCTTCACATTTCAATTCTACATAAAAAATTAAAACTGTTGCAAATCCAGAATAGCATCATACTCTTTCAGTGCTTTGTGTCTTCAAGGGTTCATGTTACGTTCAGGAACCAAACACTGCGTCAAATTTAACGGTATCATATCTAAAAATGAACGCCTCTTTAACAGATATTAATAAGAAGCATCAAAGAGAGGCATTTGCAAGCATATATGCTACTGACATTTGTTTGCAATATTCTGAACAGTTGGGGACAAATCTGACTACCTGGTAAATAATCTTGTCTAGTGATGTTTGGAGATGTTGGCGTATATTTAGGATGCTTGGTAGGGCATGGAATGGCTAGCACCATCATGGTATTCAGCCTTCAGGCTCCTAATTTCGTCTTCACAAACCACTGAAAATTTGTTTTCATTACTGCCACGCTCTGCCCAAACATTTTTGGAATACAAATGATGTGTTTGAATATGTAGAGCAGTTACAAACGGTTTACATCAAGGAAGTGGCCTTTGATTTGAGGAGCCTTGAGCTAAATGGGGTTGATTTGCGGAGAACTCCTCTGCGTGAGGAAGACTAAGAGTCAATTATTGGGCCCCTGCAAGCGAGCAGACTCTTTACTGAGCTAAACATTTGGCTGATTGACACTTCTCATTTTGGTGAAATTGATTAGTTCTTCCAGATGCATATTTTGCTGTTCTATTGAGTGGGTGTCTTGTTGGGAGACATCAGGGTGTGTTGTTGACTTGGTCCAGGAGATATCTGGTGATCCACTTATACAACAGTTCACAGCTGTATTCCTTAAAACTGTCATAGTCGTATCAGACTAAACCCTGTAGGATCCCAGCTGGAACTGATCTCCAGTAACATGTTCTGGTCATAGCAGGCAACCATATGGATCAGGTGGTACTTCTGGGGACTTGGTTGGTTGGGTGTCCTGGTACCGGACGGTGTGGATCGTGACATGCTCACAATATTGATCACTGTACTAGCTGGTCCAGACGCGGTTATATACAGGCTGTAGTCACGTAGATAGAATATTGATGTGCATAGTGTTAAACAACAAGCCAACAAACACTACCTAAAGTAGGCATGTGGAGTAGATCAATTGTTAGTCATTTTAAGTTTGATCAAAGTCACTATGAGTCATCTTTTGTGTTGTAAGTCAAATGAGCCACGAAGCTTTACACTAATTACACTGAAATGTCACAATTTCACACCGTGTGTGTGTGTGTGTGTGTGTGTGTGTGTGTGTGTGTGTGTGTGTGTGTGTGTGTGTGTGTGTGTGTGTGTGTGTGTGTGTGTGTGTGTGTGTGTGTGTGTGTCTTAAAGTGTTCGCTCATCATGCTGAAGCTCCAGGTTTTGATTTCCCACATGGGTACAACGTGTGAAGCCCACTTTTGGTGTCCCCTGCGGTGATATTGCTGGTATTTTCCTTAAAGTGGTGAAAAAATATGCACGCACTCACTCACTCACTCACTCTGCCTTGCACTAAGTGCATGCTTGTGAAGCTGTTTAGTCCCGTCTAGTGCTGCTGTTCAGTGCTACCTCACTGATCTACCATGCTGCAGTAACACTGATGCCACACTGTGACACAGTGTAATGATTCTGAGCCAACCAATCCTTGTTTTCATGCTGAGTGAGAGGCGGGGTAACAACAACTACCATACTTGTCTATGTGTGTCACAGCCAGGGATTGAACCACCCCCCTTCCACTCTCCAGGCACTCTCTAGCCCTGGTACTGCAGTGATAGTACTCCAGTAACATAAACTTACAAGTGTAGAAATGCTATTGCCACTTTTCAGAATGATAATCAATTGTTGGAATCATTCAGTGTGTTCCTGTTGAAGAACTGTTGCACAACAATTAGTGGTGTAACGGGGAGCAGGTGTTTCGTTTCGTGCAGACAGTTTACTTCCGGGTGTTGGTCGTTAACTTGCGTTAGTAACTGTACCTTCGCCGAAGTTAATTGCAGGAAATGTATTTCCTGCGGGGTTTGGGTATCATACTTTGATTCTGTTTCGTCGGTGGTTGAATTGTTTTCGCCGCCATTTTCTGTTGCAGTCAGGTTGTTTGGTATGAGCAATTCTGATTGGTGGTGGGCAGATTGGCTGGCCAATCGTGTCGAGGTTGTTATGTAAGACGTAGGGCAGCTGCAGGGTATTTAAGCGCGTAACACGAATTGTTCAGTGTCTGTATGAACGTCGACCGATCAGAGGTGAGGTTATCCACCGCAATATGTCCTGTGATGGGACTCCAAGATGTTCCGTGACGGAACAATGAGTCCCGACTCCATTCCCTATTTTATTTGTGAAAAACATACAACCTGCTGAAATACTTTATTCCTGATTTGGTAGTGTTATTTGTGAGTTACGCATTAGCCATGACAGTGTGGGACAGTAGAGGGGATCCGTCAAAACTGTCTCTGATCTTGTTCTCTGTCAGTTCTGGGCTAAATTTACAGTCCCAAAGGTTTTTGTGGATTTATTGTCCTGTATTCTGATCTCATACTGCTCTCTGAAAGGTGTGAAGTTTCTGTCTGCCACAAGTCCAATTTAGACAGATTCCCCAGTATCTGGCGGTGTCTGTCATCTGTCATTGAACCTGTCTTTAATTCCTTTTGTGTTATGGATAGATGTGGAATGATTGATTGAACCACATTCATCACACTTTGTTTCTGCATTGTACGTAGACAAAATGTTGAAGAATCAGGTTGTATATCTACAGATTCACACACTCGATCATGGTTCTTGGTGTGGAATCTGTTTCTTTACAGACATTAATAATGTTGATATTTGTTTTCCCATTTCAGTTTTCCGCAACTCTTCCTGGCAGACAGTAAAATGGACAGAAGTCGTCGTCGGAGATATAATCAAGGTCGTCAATGGAGGTTTCTTTCCTGCCGACCTTATCCTTCTGTCATCAAGGTCAGTTGTCACCGTCTCTTCAAATTCCTATGAACTTTACAAAGTGTCAGTTCTATATATGTGAATATGAATTAATCTTTTAGAATGACCTTGATGAGAATACCTTTGGCACTAGTTTTGTGTTTGACAATCGTACACTCACTTTGGAAATTCAGATAAAGGTTAGCAACCTTTGCACATTTTGACACTCGCTTTTTCCAAAATAAGCCTTCTCCAGAAATATGGCTCGATGTTCAAACTGGACACTTCCATTCAAGACATGGGCGGTGGGGTAGCCTAATGGTTAAAGCGTTGGCTCATCACTCCGAAGACCCGGGTTCGAATCCCCACATGGGTACAATGTGTGAAGCCCATTTCACCGTGATGTTGCTGGAATATTGTGAAAACCAAACTCAGTCAGTCAGTCCATTCAAGACTACCCCAGTTCTCAATTCAAAATGTGAAAACATAACAAAAGAACAGTCTTGAATTTTAGCTGATTGCTGATTGTGTGGCATTACCTCCCATGGGCTGTGCAAAGTCTTTCCATTTAATGTTCATCCCATGGAAGCAAGTGATGGATGATGGAGTCAGTCCAGCCAGTAGCTGCCAGAGGAATGCCCTTTTTATGTTTTGATCTTGTGTGATTACAAAACACATTCCTACTGTCACTTTTCTGATCTGGTATGCGACGCCCTGATTGGTCAGATGAAAGGTTGTTCTGCCTGGTAATAGAATGTCGTCCGATCTGTTTGATGATAATGATGACTCAACTCTGATTTCATCTCATCACACCATAGTGTACCACCAGATTGATGTAACCACTGGATAGTGGTTGTTGCCCATTTTGTGTCAGTCATCAAGGAAATGAACTTATATTACATCACAAATGGTTCCTGAAAGTGGGAGACAAACATCTGCAGCATGTTTATGTTTAATTCATAATGTTGGCTTGTCAACCTCCCAGTGGGTATGCTCAAGCAGCTAAGTCATCACTTAATGACAATGCTTAAACATTCATGAAGCTGCTTGTGGATGTTGGGAGATTGCTGAAAGGGAAGTGTAAGAATATTGATCTCAACATGGTGTTTTGTCAGCTGAAAGCAGTGGGATCATTTCTCACAGTGTTTCATTATGTTCAAACAAATAATTTATAAGGTTACGTTGCAATGAAAAATCTTCGTTTATTATTTATTTTTATTTTTTTGCTTTTAATCCAAGTTTTAAGATATTGTTTCAATAACAGTCATTGAACAATTGGTTGTTGTAAATTTGTATGTTTATTTCAAGACTAGTCCAATTAGAAATGAAATTTTTGTGTTTAAATAACAAAGCCCTTCCTTAAAATAGTAGAGAATTGATCTGAAATATTCCTGTGACTTTACTGGAAAAAGTGTCTTGGAATCAAAAGTCTTTTTTTAACAAGGCCACAAATTCAAGGGAGGTAACTGAGTTGGCAATGTCTGCTGCAGAAGGAAATCTGAATGTTTGATAATTGAAGGGTGACATGGAACAGGAGAAGAAAATGTTGCTATTTATCTTGATCACTAGAGTATCACAGCTTATTATTCTACTTGCCTAACAAAAATAATACTTCACAGCTGTAATGGTGGGATGGGTGCTTTCGTGATAGAGGAGTGTTGTCAACGTCAGGCCATATCACAGTTTGTTTTATATCAAACTGTATCATCTGTTTATATCAGTGATCGTTTTGGTGAGAAACCAATTCTATGACTTACTGTGAACTGTCAAGTGAGATATTTCTAACTTAATGAATAAATGTTTTTCAGTGAGCCCCAAGCCATGTGTTACATCGAGACCTCCAACCTAGATGGAGAGACCAACTTGAAGTTGAGACAGGTGCGTTGGAGAACACTATGTTTGTCATGTGTGTAAATGTGTACTGGTACTGTACTTCATAAGGAGAGTCTGCCCAGATGCGTGTTGTGTGTAAATGTGTAACACCAAGAAACTCCATTCACATGTGTGTAATGCATGTCCAGTCATTGTTGCCCCTAAAACCTATTGTCTCTTGTATTCAAAAATAGAGAAACTTCCTTAAAACAGTGATATAGAAAATCCAAGCCTACTCTCAGACCCCCCAATATTCAAAGAATTATGTTGTCTTCTTTGAATGGCATTCTAGATGTTGAGGAGATGACTGACTGACTGAGTTTGGTTTTACGCCGATTTAGCAATATTCCAGCAACATTACGGTGGGGGACACCAGAAATGGGCTTCACACATTGTGCCCATGTGGGGATTTGAACCCGGGTCTTCGGAGTGACGAGCCAACGCTTTAACCATTAGGCTACCCCACCGCCCCTTGAGGAAATGAAGGATGAGGACAATTTTATATATATATACAACTTCTTTATTCTGTATAGGTGATGTTTTAACATAGATTCTAATGTCACTAACATCTTATTTCAAAACGTCGCCTATACCGAATAAAGACGTTGTATATCCATATATTCTCCATATACTCTGAATCTGCGAGAGTGGTACAGCTGATTAGTCGCCTATACCGAATAAAGACGTTGTATATCCATATATTCTCCATAGACTCTGAATCTGCGAGAGTGGTACAGCTGATTAGTGGCCTATACAGAATAAAGGCGTTGTATATCCCTATATTCTCCATAGACTCTGAATCTGGGAGAGTGGTACAGCTGATTAGTGGCCTATACAGAATAAAGAGGCGTTGTATATCCCTATATTCTCCATAGACTCTGAATCTGGGAGAGTGGTACAGCTGATTAGTGGCCTATACAGAATAAAGGCGTTGTATATCCCTATATTCTCCATAGACTCTGAATCTGGGAGAGTGGTACAGCTGATTAGTGGCCTATACAGAATAAAGGCGTTGTATATCCCTATATTCTCCATAGACTCTGAATCTGTGAGAGTGGTACAGCTGATTAGTTGCCTATACAGAATAAAAGGCGTTGTATATCCCTATATTCTCCATAGACTCTGAATCTGGGAGAGTGGTACAGCTGATTAGTGGCCTATACAGAAATAAAAAGGCGTTGTATATCCCTATATTCTCCATAGACTCTGAATCTGGGAGAGTGGTACAGCTGATTAGTGGCCTATACAGAATAAAGGCGTTTATATCCCTATATTCTCCATAGACTCTGAATCTGGGAGAGTGTGGTACAGCTGATTAGTGGCCTATACAGAATAAAAGGCGTTGTATATCCCTATATTCTCCATAGACTCTGAATCTGGGAGAAGTGGTACAGCTGATTAGTGGCCTATACAGAATAAAGGCGTTGTATATATCCTATATTCTCCATAGACTCTGAATCTGTGAGGGGTGGTACAGCTGATTAGTGGCCTATACAGAATGGAAAAGGCGTTGTATATCCCTATATTCTCCATAGACTCTGAATCTGGGAGAGTGGGTACAGCTGATTAGTTGCCTATACAGAATAAAGGCGTTGTATATCCCTATATTCTCCATAGACTCTGAATCTGTGAGAGTGGGTACAGCTGATTAGTGGCCTATACAGAATAAAGGCGTTGTATATCCCTATATTCTCCATAGACTCTGAATCTGTGAGAGAGTGGTACAGCAGCTGATTAGTTGCCTATACAGAATAAAAAAAAGGCGTTGTATATCCATATATATTCTCCATAGACTCTGAATCTGGGAGAGTGGTACAGCTGATTAGTGGCCTATACAGAATAAAGGCGTTGTATATCCCTATATTCTTCAATGACATGTTGTTCAGACTCTGAATCTGGGAGAGTGGGTACAGCTGATTAGTGGCCTATACAGAATAAAGGCGTTGTATATATCCCTATATTCTCCATAGACTCTGAATCTGGGAGAGTGAGTACAGCTGATTAGTGGCCTATACAGAATAAAGGCGTTGTATATCCCTATATTCTCCATAGACTCTGAATCTGGGAGAGTGGTACAGCTGATTGGTGGCCTATACAGAATAAAGGCGTTGTATATCCCTATATTCTCCATAGACTCTGAATCTGGGAGAGTGGTACAGCTGATTAGTGGCCTATACAGAATAAAGGCGTTGTATATCCCTATATTCTCTCCATAGACTCTGAATCTGGGGGAGGTGGTACAGCTGATTAAGTGGCCTATACAGAATAAAGGCGTTGTATATCCTATATTCTCCATAGACTCTGAATCTGTGAGAGTGGTACAGCTGATTAGTGGCCTATACAGAATAAAGGCGTTGTATATCCCTATATTCTTCAATGACATGTTGTTCAGACTCTGAATCTGGGAGAGTGGTACAGCTGATTAGTGGCCTATACAGAATAAAAGGCGTTGTATATCCCTATATTCTCCATAGACTCTGAATCTGGGAGAGTGAATTTTACAGCTGATTAGTGGCCTATACAGAATAAAAGGCGTTGTATATCCTATATTCTCCATAGACTCTGAATCTGGGAGAGTGGTACAGCTGATTAGTGGCCTATACAGAATAAAGAGGCGTTGTATATCCCTATATTCTCCATAGACTCTGAATCTGGGAGAGTGGTACAGCTGATTAGTGGCCTATACAGAATAAAGGCGTTGTATATCCCTATATTCTCCATAGACTCTGAATCTGGGAGAGTGGTACAGCTGATTAGTGGCCTATACAGAATAAAGAAGCGTTGTATATCCCTATATTCTCCATAGACTCTGAATCTGGGAGAGTGGTACAGCTGATTAGTGGCCTATACAGAATAAAGGCGTTGTATATCCCTATATTCTCAATAGACTCTGAATCTGGGAGAGTGGTACAGCTGATTAGTGGCCTATACAGAATAAAGGCGTTGTATATCCCTATATTCTCCATAGACTCTGAATCTGTGAGAGTGGTACAGCTGATTAGTGGCCTATACAGAATAAAGGCGTTGTATATCCTATATTCTCCATAGACTCTGAATCTGTGAGAGTGGGTACAGCTGATTAGTGGCCTATACAGAATAAAGAGGCGTTGTATATCCTATATTCTCCATAAACTCTGAATCTGGGAGAGTGGTACAGCTAGCTGATTAGTGGCCTATACAGAATAAAGGCGTTGTATATCCCTATATTCTCCGTAGACTCTGAATCTGGGAGAGTGGTACAGCTGATTAGTGGCCTATACAGAATAAAAGGCGTTGTATATCCCTATATTCTTCAATGACATGTTGTTCAGACTCTGAATCTGGGAGAGTGGTACAGCTGATTAGTGGCCCTATACAGAATAAAGAGGCGTTGTATATCCCTATATTCTCCATAGACTCTGAATCTGGGAGAGTGGTACAGCTGATTAGTGGCCTATACAGAATAAAGAGGCGTTGTATATCCCTATATTCTCCATAGACTCTGAATCTGGGAGAGTGGTACAGCTGATTAGGTGGCCTATACAGAATAAAGGCGTTGTATATCCCTATATTCTCCATAGACTCTGAATCTGTGAGAGTGGTACAGCTGATTAGTGGCCTATACAGAATAAAGGCGTTGTATATCCTATATTCTCCATAGACTCTGAATCTGGGAGAGTGGTACAGCTGATTAGTGGCCTATACAGAATAAAAGGCGTTGTATATCCCTATATTCTCCATAGACTCTGAATCTGTGAGAGTTGGTACAGCTGATTAGTGGCCTATACAGAATAAAAAGGCGTTGTATATCCCTATATTCTCCATAGACTCTGAATCTGGGAGAGTGGTACAGCTGATTAGTTGCCTATACAGAATAAAGGCGTTGTATATCCCTATATTCTCCATAGACTCTGAATCTGTGAGAGTGGTACAGCTGATTAGTGGCCTATACAGAATAAAGGCGTTGTATATCCCTATATTCTCCATAGACTCTGAATCTGTGAGAGTGGTACAGCTGATTAGTTGCCTATACAGAATAAAAGGCGTTGTATATCCATATATTCTCCATAGACTCTGAATCTTGGAAGTGGTACAGCTGATTAGTGGCCTATACAGAATAAAGGCGTTGTATATCCCTATATTCTTCAATGACATGTTGTTCAGACTCTGAATCTGGGAGAGTGGTACAGCTGATTAGTGGCCTATACAGAATAAAAAGGCGTTGTATATCCCTATATATTCTCCATAGACTCTGAATCTGGGAGAGTGGTACAGCTGATTAGTGGCCTATACAGAATAAAGGCGTTGTATATCCCTATATTCTCCATAGACTCTGAATCTGGGAGAGTGGTACAGCTGATTAGTGGCCTATACAGAATAAAGGCGTTGTATATCCCTATATTCTCCATAGACTCTGAATCTGGGAGGAGAGTGGTACAGCTGATTAGTGGCTCACTATACAGAATAAAGGCGTTGTATATCCCTATATTCTCCATAGACTCTGAATCTGGGAGAGTGGTACTTTTTTAGCTGATTAGTGGCCTATACAGAATAAAAGGCGTTGTATATCCCTATATTCTCCATAGACTCTGAATTTGTGAGGTGGTACAGCTGATTAGTGGCCTATACAGAATAAAAGGCGTTGTATATCCCTATATTCTTCAATGACATGTTGTTCAGACTCTGAATCTGGGAGAGTGGGTACAGCTGATTAGTGGCCTATACAGAATAAAGGCGTTGTATATCCCTATATTCTCCATAGACTCTGAATCTGGGAGAGTGGTACAGCTGATTAGTGGCCTATACAGAATAAAGAAGCGTTGTATATCCTATATTCTCCATAGACTCTGAATCTGGGAGAGTGGTACAGCTGATTAGTGGCCTATACAGAATAAAGGCGTTGTATATCCCTATATTCTCCATAGACTCTGAATCTGGGAGAGTGGTACAGCTGATTAGTGGCCTATACAGAATAAAGGCGTTGTATATCCCTATATTCTCCATAGACTCTGAATCTGGGAGAGTGGTACAGCTGATTAGTGGCCTATACAGAATAAAGGCGTTGTATATCCTATATTCTCCATAGACTCTGAATCTGGGAGAGTGGTACAGCTGATTAGTGGCCTATACAGAATAAAAGGCGTTGTATATCCCTATATTCTCAATAGACTCTGAATCTGGGAAGTGGTACAGCTGATTAGTGGCCTATACAGAATAAAGACGTTGTATATCCCTATATTCTCCATAGACTCTGAATCTGTGAGAGTGGTACAGCTGATTAGTGGCCTATACAGAATAAAGGCGTTGTATATCCCTATATTCTCCATAGACTCTGAATCTGAGAGAGTGGTACAGCTGATTAGTGGCCTATACAGAATAAAGGCGTTGTATATCCCTATATTCTCCATGAACTCTGAATCTGGGAGAGTGGTACAGCTGATTAGTGGCCTATACAGAATAAAGGCGTTGTATATCCCTATATTCTCCGTAGACTCTGAATCTGGGAGAGTGGTACAGCTGATTAGTGGCCTATACAGAATAAAGGCGTTGTATATCCCTATATTCTCCATAGACTCTGAATCTGGGAGAGTGGTACAGCTGATTAGTGGCCTATACAGAATAAAGACGTTGTATATCCATATATTCTCCATATACTCTGAATCTGCGAGAGTGGTACAGCTGATTAGTCGCCTATACCGAATAAAGACGTTGTATATCCATATATTCTCCATAGACTCTGAATCTGCGAGAGTGGTACAGCTGATTAGTGGCCTATATACAGAATAAAGGCGTTGTATATCCCTATATTCTCCATAGACTCTGAATCTGCGAGAGTGGTACAGCTGATTAGTCGCCTATACCGAATAAAGACGTTGTATATCCATATATTCTCCATAGACTCTGAATCTGCGAGAGTGGTACAGCTGATTAGTGGCTGACGTGTTTCAGGGAGTACCAAAAACAGCCAAGTTGCTGACGGGAGAGGATCTTCAAGACTTCAAGGGAAATGTGGAGTGTGAGCTCCCTAACAGACATCTTTATGACTTCGTCGGAAACATCAGACCACAAAATTCTATGTAAGATTCTAAGTGTTGACCCAGATCTTGATTGATGAACAATTATTGGGATTAACTGGAATTATCCGTTGCCAAAGTCTGATATTCTTGTTTAATGTGGCAAACTTGAAAAATTAATGCTTTTATCAGAAAACATCACTGTACCGATGGCACGTCATCAGAGAAATGTATTCATTGTTTGTTCTAAGATATGCTAAGATATTTCTTTCAAGTAAGAGAGTTAATAGGATGTTAAGAAATACTGATGATGATGATGATGATGATGATGACGATGGTTGTTGAGGATTGATGATGATGATGATGATGATGATGATGATGACGATGGTTGTTGACTATTGATGATGATGATGATGATGATGATGATGACGATGGTTGTTGAGGATTGATCATGATGATGATGACGATGGTTGTTGGACGATTGATGATGATGATGTTGTTGTTTTGATGATGATGATGCGATGGTTGTTGACGATTGATGATGATGATGATGATGATGTTGTTGTTGTGATTGATGATGATGATGATGGTTGTTGATGCGATGGTTGTTGTGATTGATGCTGATGATGGTTGTTGATGATGAGCGATGGTTGTTGACGATTGATGATGATGATGATGATGATGATGATGGTTGTTGATGATTGATGATGATGGCGATGGTTGTTGACGATTGATTGATGATGATGATGATGGTTGTTGTTGTTGATTGATGATGATGGTTGTTGTTGTTGCAATTGATGATGATGATGATGATGATGATGGCGATGGTTGTTGACAATTGATGATGATGGCAATGGTTGTTGATGATTGATGATGATGATAGTTGATGATGATGGTTGTTGCGATGATGATGATGATGATGATGATGGTTGTTGATGGCGATGGTTGTTGATGATTGATGATGATGATGGTTGTTGATGATGATGATGATGATGATGATGATGATGATGATGATGATGATGGTTGTTGACGATTGATGATGATGACGATGGTTGTTGACGATTGATGATGATGATGATGGTTGTTGTTGATTGATGATGATGATGATGATGGTTGTTGACGATTGATGATGATGATAATGAGGAGGAGGAGGATGACTGTATGTTCATGTTTGTATCCAGGGCCATCCCTGTAGGACCAGACCAGCTGCTGCTCAGGGGGGCAATACTCAAGAACACAAACTGGATCTTTGGTACGTGATTTATGGTGTGACTTGACTTGTAATCCCAAATGGGTACTCATTATCTGAGACACTAAAATGTGCAATGCCAATTTACATCCCACAGATTTTCCCTGATTAAAATCATTGGTGTGTTGTACGCTTGTCCACTTGGTAGCTGTGATCAGACCTGGGTAACCGTGGAATCCCAAAAGTTAACTGACTATGACAGGACTGAAATTCTGTTCAGTGCTGGAGTGAACTCAACCAGTGAAATCCTCACAGGGGTTTTCATGAAGCAGTGTTAGACCAAACTCACATGGGTATCCCCCAACGCATGAATACCTCACATGATATCAGCAAAGCAATGATAGATGTAACTCACCAGCTTAGTGAAATCCCTATGTTGTGCACATCAATATTCCAATAGACTAATGCTTAGTCTCTGAATATATATAATTTTGATAGTAACAAACAAGGCCATTTAAATTGAAAAGGAGCCCCAGGGAGACCAGAGATTCAGAACCTGAGGAAATCTAGACTTGCTTTATTTAGGGCTTTAGCACTGCAGAGAGGGCTTGGCAGTAGGGAAAATAATGTGGTTCAGGGACTGTGAGACAGACTAATATTCCAACTACAGTGATATGTATATAGTCTTGACCAGACAATCCAGTGCTTAATGTTATGAGCAGCGTTCAGAGTTTGGTGACACACAATCAAACAAGTCATCAATCCTACACGCTTTCCAGTCATTTAGATAGCTTCTTACAAGTTTGCAAGAGAGCAGTTCTAACCTGAAGCCCCCATGGGACAATATGGAAACACTGAAGCAGTGTTTGAGGTCTGACCAAGATTGGGCTTACATACTACATACAAGAGAGAGAGAGAGTGATTAGATATTGTTTAACACAGCCACTATGGACATATTCCTGCCAGTGCAGTGACCTGTTATCCTTGTTGGTACATTTTTCCCGCTATGTAGTGAGTGAGTTTAGTTTTACGCCGCACTCAGCAATATTCCAGCTATATGGTGGCGGTCTGTAAATAATCGAGTCTGGACCAGGCAATCCAGTGATCAACAGCATGAGCATCGATCTGCACAATTAGGAACCGATGACATGTGTCAACCAAGTCAGCGAGCCTGACCACCCGATCCCGTTAGTCGCCTCTTACGACAAGCATGGGTTACTGAAGGCACATTCTAACCCGGACCTTCACAGGTCCCGCTATGTAAGATCCTCACCAGTAAACTCTCCTCCTCCGTGTTTCAGGTGCTGTCGTGTACACTGGTGCCCAGACTAAGCTTATGCTCAACTCCACGTCAGCACCACTCAAGAGGTCCAATGTTGAGAAACTGACCAATACACAGGTAAGTTGTATGATTGTTAGAACTCTGTATGACCCTGTGAGGAGTTCTAGGAGGATCAGTTCCTCTGTTGACTTGTTATAACAGAGTCTGTTTCCTCATCTAGGTAACATTTCCAGTCTAGATCTGTACTTGCAATCACTGCCATGTAGGGGATTACAACATTGTTTCATAAAACTTTTACTTATACATGGAAATGGGTGAGAGGATACATGATTTTGAAAAGATTTTAATTAAATCGCGGGCCAGCCAATTTGGCCGAGGTCAGGTGCCTGATCCCTGGTGCTCAATGTCAGCTCTGGGGACTGATGAGGGACATTTGGAATATTTTACCAGAACATGAACTGATGTACTGAGCTGGGAAGAGTTTTAATTTTACCAGTTTATTAAAATACATTTTTACTGACATCCATTCCACATGTTTCTTACTTGATGATGTGATGAAATCATGACAAACCTAGGATACAAAATGTTTCTTGTTTCAGATCTTGTTGCTGTTTGTGATTCTGGTGGTGTTATCCCTGATCAGCACGGTCGCCAACACAGTGTGGTCAAACAAGCACCAAGCCTCAGACTGGTACCTGGCCTACCACGGTGAGTTAACACAGACTGGTACCTGGCCTACCATGGTGAGTTAACACAGACTGGTACCTGGCCTACCATGGTGAGTTATAGCTAACTGACACCTGGTCTACTGCATGGTGAGTTAACACAGACTGGTACCTGGCCTACCACGGTGAGTTAACACAGACTGGTACCTGGCCTACAATGGTGAGTTACAATTCTAGTATAAACAACCTTGACCAGCTATCAAGTGCTTGGTTTCATTCAAGAGAGACAACTCTGTTAATCCTTTTCATTAGTTGTGAAGAGTTACCCCCTTTGTTTACTTGCTAGCAGGCGACATTTTCAGTGATCCTCAGTATGGATGATTTAGAGAAGAGGAAGTTGATTTTAGAGTATTATAACAAGGACATCAGATCAGCTGAAGTGATTTCAAGTAGAACAGGCATCCATTTGTCCACTGTTTTTTGTGATTTGAAAATATTGCAAATTGATATGGCATTGAGCACCAGGGAGGTGCAGGTAGGCCCAGAAAATTGACTGTCAGTGACAGGAGGCGGCTTGGTATTCTTGTTTCTAAAACAAACGAAGGAGTTTAGAAAACTTAAGGCTGGATATGATTGATAGAGGAACTGTGGCTGTCTGTAAGGAGACAATTAGAACTGAGCTGCATGCAATGGGTTGGCTGAAAAGTCGAGGAATTCCATCACCGATCATGAAACCTGAACAAAAGAAAGGCGAAGGTTGAACTGGTGCTTAGAGCATAGAAATTTTAACTGGGACAATGTGATTTTCTAATACACTGAAATTCTGGACCAAACAAACTGAAAACCTTTGTATCAGCCCAAAAGTACAGTCCGAAATTTAGCGTGTGGGGTGGCTCATCTGTGTTAGGGGCAACGCCCTCTGTGTATTTGAAGGGAATATGAACAGTGAGCGGTACACAGATATTCTCGAGGGACATTTACTTCCATCTGCTCACATGTTCTATGGAAATGTTTGGATTTTCCAGCAGGACAACGACCCAAAACATCGTTCAAAGCATTCACAGGCCTGGTTTCGGACCTAAAATATGACATAATTAGATTGGCCAAGCTAGCCCTGACCTAAATCCAATAGAAAATGTTTGGGGACTTATGAAGGAAAGTGTCAATAAGAAAAATCTGACAAATATTGCTGAAATGAAGGGGTGGTCCAATATTGGGACAGCATGGACCACGACTTTCTAACTTCTTTGATCAGTAGTATGCCCCGCCGCATTGAAGCCTGCATTGCTGCCCATGGTGACTTGACAAAATACTAACTGTTCACCTGTTTTGAATCTGGAGTTATGTTCTGCTAATATTCACATTTAATAATATCGTGAGTAATGAGTGAAAAAATAAATAATTACAATCTTTAAATTCTCAATAATTTCTGGTTGTACTGTAAAAACAGACTGGTATCTGGCCTACCATGGTAAGTTAACACAGACTGGTACCTGGCCTACCACGGTGAGTTAACACAGACTGGTACCTGGCCTACCACGGTGAGTTAACACAGACTGGTACCTGGCCTACCATGGTGAGTTATAGCTAACTGACACCTGGCATACCATGGTGAGTTAGTGGAGACTGCTACATGGCCTACCATGGTGAGTTAACACAGACATACTTAGCCTACCATGGTGAGTAAACACAGACTGGTACCTGGCCTATCACGGTGAGTTAACACAGACTGGTACCTGGCCTACCATGGTGAGTTAACACAGACTGGTACCTGGCCTACCACGGTGAGTTATAGCTAGCTGCCACCTGGCCTACCACGGTGAGTTATAGCTAGCTGCCACCTGGCCTACCACGGTGAGTAATAGCTAGCTGCCACCTGGCCTACCACGGTGAGTTATAGCTAGCTGCCACCTGGCCTACGGTGGTGAGACTGCTACCTAGGTAGTGCAGACTGCTACCTAAGCCTACTAAACAGTGTTGACTGCTTTTAAGTTAATCTCTCGATAGCTTAACTGCTCATGTGTCCTTTGGAAGTTGCATATAGGGATAAAAATAGTGGCTGAAACAGGACTTGTCTGTCAGACAATTCTGTTTGAATGCTAATGGGCAAGAACATACTGTGAAGCTCCCCAAATTCTCAAATGTGTGTGGTACACATAGGACTGCTGATAATGGCTGTATCCATCATCATAATGATTAGTACTTGACTTAGTTCGATGAAGATTCAGTACAATCAGTGCACCATCCATGTCACACAGATGTGCTTGTCAAACACTTCTTGCCTATAGTTTGTGCTTGAGAGGACGAGAGGCTTGTCAACATATCATTCAACCCCTACCTCCATGTTGACCTGACTCTGCTCTATTCCAGAAATGCCGCCCACCAACTCCGGCTACAACCTGCTGACATTTCATCATCCTGTACAACAACCTGATCCCCATCAGTTTACAGGTCACTCTGGAGGTGGTCAAGTTCATCCAGGCTATCTTCATCAACTGGGTAGGTCCATGTCACTACAGGGAGGGTGGTAGGTCATCTTCATCAACTGGGTAGGTCCTTGTCATTACAGATACAGGGGTAGGTCATCTTCATCAGCTGGGTAGGTCCTTGTCATTACAGATACAGGGGTAGGTCATCTTCATCAGCTGGGTAGGTCCTTGTCATTACAGATACAGGGGTAGGTCATCTTCATCAACTGGATAGGTCCTTGTCATTACAGATACAGGGGGTCCTTGTCATTACAGATACAGGGTAGTCACCTTCATCAACTGGGGATAGTCACCTTCATCAACCCTTGTCATTACAGATACAGGGGTAGGTCATCTTCATCAGCTGGATAGGCCCTTGTCATTACAGATACAGGGGGTAGGTCTTGTCTTCATCAGCTGGATCATCTTCATCCTTAGGTCATGTCATTACAGATACAGGGGTAGGTCATCTTCATCAACTGGATAGGCCCTTGTCATTACAGATACAGGGGTAGGTCATCTTCATCAGCTGGGTAGGCCCTTGTCATTACAGATACAGGGGTAGGTCACCTTCATCAACTGGATAGGTCCTTGTCATTACAGATACAGGGTAGGTCATCTTCATCAACTGGATAGGCCCTTGTCATTACAGATACAGGGGTAGGTCACCTTCATCAACAGGATAGGTCCTTGTCATTACCGGGAGAGGGTAGGTCATTTTCATCAACTGGGTAGGTCCTTGTCATTTCAGGGAGGGGGTAGGTCATCTTCATCAACTGAGTAGGCCAATCCATTATAGGGTGGTTCAATTTCATCAACTGGGTAGGTCAAGCCAATTGCAGGGTGGAGGGTTGGCCATCTTCATCAACTGGATAGGTCCATTCAATTACAGACAGAGGGGTAGGTCATCTTCAACTCGGTAGGTCCATGTTGTTACAGGGAGGATTATTTTAGACTGCATCAAGACCATGAAACATTATGTTGGTGCGGGTTTATTCCAGGACCGAGACATGTACTACGCTGAGACAGACACCCCAGCCATGGCCCGGACCTCCAACCTTAACGAGGAGCTGGGACAGGTGAGGACATTTATTACAACTAAATAGAAGTCTGTGTAGTGCAGTATCCATACACTAAGGTATAACCTTACTTAGAGTAGATGTTTTCATAACAGTTGAAAGAAGATTTCCCAAATACATTCTTGGTAAGACTAACCCTGGTCTTGTGACCTGATGACTCAACATATTCCTCATGATATCCACCACGGTATTTTATGTCTGATGTGATACATCTGTAATATTTTGTTATTCTGTTGTTTGAACAACTCTCAGAAACAACAGCCACAGCATTGTCAGATTATTTCAGGTTATCTAGTGGCATGTTTTGCAAGGCAAACACAGATGTCACCTTATTTCTTTTCCTCGGTATACATCTAAGAAGTGTGCTACACTGTATGGTTAATTTGATTGAGGTCCACCAGTTTGAAAAACAAAACTTGAAGTGAAGTAATATGTTTAGTATACTGATAAGGACCAAAATAGTAATATTTAGTCAAAGATGTGGTTGAGTAGCATAAACTAAGCTTGTCAAGTCATCATCACGTCACACAAAGTGTCTCTGCTACAGGTGAAGTACATCTTCTCAGACAAGACTGGCACACTTACTAAGAATGTCATGGAATTCCGGAAGTGTACCATAGCTGGCATCGCTTACGGGTGAGTGTCTCTGTTGTGAGAAATGTCTCTCTTAACCTTTAAGCTCTGGGTTAGAATATTGGCCTTCAGCAACCCTTGCTTGACGTAAGAGGCGACTAACTGGATCGGGTGGTCAGGCTCACTGACTTGGTTGACACATGTCCTCGCTTCTCACTTGCGCAGATCAATGCTCATGCTGTTGATCACTGGATTGTCTGGTCCAGACTCGATTATTTATAGACTGGAATATTCCCGAGTGTGGCATAAAACTAAACTCACTCATAACCTTTAAGGTTATAACTTTAGATTACTTGAATTGGGGGCTTAAAGGTCACTTCTACCTAATGCTCGTCATCAGTGTTGGCATCAGGATAGTAGACACATTGTGTGACCTGTCTGTCATCATAAGCATTGTGCTGTGCTCCCTGATCACTGACAGACTACCATGGCTGGAATGGTACTGACTGCTCTGTGTTTTATCATCTATAAAATGTACTGTTTCATTTTTCATTTTAACTACTAGACTTCTATCAGCATCTGAGAGCATATCTGTTTGTCCTGCAGGAATAATGATGAAAGCGTCCACAAGTTTGACGATGAATCTCTAATGGAGAATCTCAAATCCAACCATGTAAGTATTTCCAATGATATTCATCATTCAGACTGGCTTCCACAGGCGATATTACTTGGCTGAGATCAAATGATATCTTCTGAAACATATTGCTTCAAAATGCTTCTCAGACCACAGTGACATCATCGTTTACCTACAAATGTTCTCAGTGAACATATGTTTGTTTTGCTCAAGAAGGAGTACCTACAGACACAAAAGTAACTAATCCTCTGGGACACAAAAGTCTTAACTAATCTATGTTAAAGTAGGGGAGTTACGATCATCTTAAGCTCGGACTAGTATAAGAAAATATAAACTTTTGAGGCTATTGTAGTGTCACACTTAGCTGCATGAGTTATCTCCCCTGCAGGTGACGTCATCCACAATTCAGGACTTCCTGACGCTCCTGGCAGTGTGCCATACTGTAGTACCTGAACGCCAACTGGAACTGAACGAAATTACCTACCAGGCATCCTCTCCAGGTACGTGGTGGCAGGCAGTGCCCTGATGGGGCTTACATAGGGCAAGAACTTAATCTAGGATTTTTGTTACCAGAGAAAACTCTATTACCAGTCAGGTCTGTATCTGCCCAAATAAATTCTTAGTGGAACTGATCACCAACACCAAGCCTGCCCCCAACATTTGCAAAGGATATAATGAAGCAAGCTTTACCCTTTTGCTATAGACATTGCACAATGTTGCCAGTAGCTTGTAGGCATGTTAAATGACATAATGAAAATCTAGCTAAAAGTGTGTATAGTAGATCGTCATGGTTTCAAATCTTGTACCAGAGTTTGCCTCTAAATGCAATCCCTGAACTCCGTATTTGATAAATGTCATGCAGGGGAGCTTCAGTCAGTACAAAAGTCAATTCAAAAAGAATTGAATGCTTAATATTTTGCTGCTTGTGATGAAGATTTTAGAGGCTCCTAAAAAATAGGGCTTCAGTTTACAGACCTTTTCTTACACGTTGTAAGGTGCTGCGCTTGATGTAGTGCCACCTAGTGGTGTATAACAGATATATCAGCACACTGGAACTCAGTATTCATGCTATGCTTGCAGATGAAGCTGCTTTGGTAAAGGCTGCACGGAAATTTGGATTTGTCTTCACAACGAGGACGCCCCAGACTGTGTCTATAGAGGTGGTAAGTGTCTGGCTCTGTAATGTCGATACAGGACCATATTTTGTCCTTGTTTGTGTTCTAGGCAGATGTATGATGTCCTACTAACATCATGCTTCTGAGATAGTGATCTTAAGAAAATGTATTGTAAGTTCATTTCATATGTAATATGGGTTGTAGATGTAAGCTCGAGTACTCCCCTAGTTAGTACATTTACAAGCAGTGTTTGGTTTTTCATTGTGATTTTTTTATGATGACAGAGCATTGCGGTTTATATCTTCCTTAGCTGAACCGGGGTAGAATAGGTCTTCAGCAACCCATTCTTGTCATAAAAGGCAACTATGCTTGTCGTAAAAGGTGACTAACGGGATCGGGTGGTCAGGCTTGCTGAATTGGTTGACACATGTCATCGGTTCCCAATTGCGCAGATCGATGCTCATGCTGTTGATCACTGGATTGTCTGGTCCAGACTCGATTATTTACAGACCGCCGCCATATAGCTGGAATATTGCTGAGTGCGGCGTAAAACTAAACTCACTCACTCACTCACTCCTTGGCTGAAGTTTGTGAATGTTCAGGCTTCATGTGAAGGGAGATTGAAATCTAGGCTATAATAAATAATTCTCATAAGAAACCACTTCACATCCAAACACCCTTCCTTATTTTGGTGTACTTCACTACCTTATTATGACTGACTGACTGAGTTTGGTTTTACGCCGCTTTTAGCAATATTCCAGCAACATCACGGCGGGGGACACCAGAAATGGGCTTCACACATTGTACCCATGTGGGGATTCGAACCCGGGTCTTCGGCGTGACGAGCCAACGCTTTAACCACTAGGCTGCCCCACCTTATTATGAACATTTATGAAAATCAGGTCCAGCGATAGTTAATGTACCTAGTCTTGATCAGTTTGTTTAAAGTACATACCAGATACTATAAAAGTAAAATGCATTCTGTCTGAAATTTGTCATAGATTTGGATGAAATTGAATATAGTTATAGAAGTCTTATATGAAGCCTATTCTTAATGCCTGTCAAAGTGGGGTCTCATCGTTCTCTCACCTTGACATTCCTGGATTCAGAAGACCTCCCCTCAGATAATCATACCATCCAATGAAACAGTTTACTCAGATATGGCATGACCTATGGATTGTATTTTTGTCTGTTTCAGTTCGGTAAAGTGGAAACCTATGAAATACTCAATGTTTTAGAATTTACAAGGTGAGTCTGACTTTTGAATTGATGTATAGTAAAACCCAAACAGTTGTACAGGAAGATGTTTCCAGGATGAATTCTATGAATTTTTCAGTGACAACTGTAAATGTATGGGTGTAAATGATAGGATATAGAGTGACATTAAACAAACAAAACAATAATCTTGAATGTGATCTTCAACCCGGTTTCACTTTAACTCAACTCACCTAAGTCGGGTGGTAGAGTCCATTCCTGGAGGTTGTTTTATCCCACATTGCGTGATCCCCGCCATATTGACATGTTTCAGTGAGAGGAAGCGGATGTCTGTGGTTGTGAAGCGTCCTGACGGTCTGATACAGCTCTACTGCAAGGAGGCGGTAAGTATAGGATTGTTCCATAGATTGTAGCTTTTACCAAACTAAAGTGTCTTTTATTTGCTTGTTCATTTAATTTGGTTTCTAACCAAAAGTTTTATTCCAAAGAGTGCCCATGTGGACCTCTATTCAACTACTGAATTGTGTGAGTATTTGTGCAGTCAAGAAGATCCTTAATCTAAATAGCAGATAAGACAAACAGCTTGCGCCTAGTGATAGTTCAGCTGTTTAATTATAGCACTAAGATCATTTGTACACCATTGTTGGGACCTGGGCTGACTGGCTGTCTGCTTGGATAGTCACTCTGGTTGGTAGGGTCCAGTCATGATTTCTGTGGATTAACAGACTAGCAACAATACTTACCCCCTCAATCACTCTCTCACTCTCTCACTCACTCACTCACTCACTCGCTCTCTCTCACTCACTCACTCACTCACTCACTCACTCACTCACTCACTCCCTCACTCTCTTGCTCCCTAACTCACTCTCTCTTACTCCCTCACTCTCTTACTCCCTCACTCTCTCACTCACACACTCACTCACTCTGTGTTCTGTGATCTCTCTCTCACTCCCCTAACTCAATCACTCTCTCTCCCTCTCTCTCTCACTCGCTCTCTCTCACTCCCTAACTCACTCACTCTTACTCACTCAACTCACTCACTACTCACTCACTCACTCCACTCTGTGTTCCAGGACACTGTGATCTACGACCGACTGGATGAGACTCAGCTGTACAGGGACATAACTCTGCAACACTTGGAGGAGTTCGCATCTATAGGTAGTTGTTAGGGATATGCTAGAAAGTGTTACTATTTGGCAGTTGTTAGGTATATAGCATGTATTTCTTTTCTGGACAGTTGAGTACGTCAGTGAATAGTGTGTCTGCTTTCAACTCCCAGCTTGATATACAAATTCAATATTGAAGCTTATTATGATCTTAAGGGTAAAACATACCATGAGCTTCTTGATAGTGTAACCTATAATTCATTTTAGAGTAGGACACTATGTCTTGATAAAGAAGATGACTTTATTTGAAATATTATGGTTGTGAATTTGGTAGTTTGCTGACACCTTCTCTAAACTGATTGTTTTGACTGATGCAGGTTTGAGGACTCTTTGTATAGCAACCGCAGACATCTCGGAGGACTTCTACGAGGAGTGGAAACACACCTTCTACAAGGCCAGCACATCTATACAGAACCGGGAGAAGAAGTTGGAGGAGGCAGCAGAGCTGATTGAGAGGGTACAACCACTTCTGTGTCTTCATGTTTCTATCAGCAGGCATGGAGAGCCCAGTCCACTCGTTTCATTTCCTGCAATTTTTCCCCGCAGATGTTTCCCTTAGGCCTATTAGGATTCTGTGATGTTGAATTTGAATCCCCAAATCTCCCTCATAGTGATTGTTTCAAATGTAATTCATCTACTCATTAATTCACTGTACAGAGTTGCATCCCTTATGTGTACCAGGAACTTGGTAATGGATCTGAATCCTGGTGTGGGTCAGTTTTGTTTTAGGTTTGTCAGTACTTTGTGCCTGTGGTTCTCTCATCAAAGCAGGTAAACATCACATATCACTCCTTCCTTAATGAGCGAAGAGAGCTCTCCAATGTTAAACCAGTGGCCATGCATGCTCAGTTGATGTGTCTTGGAGTGAGTATCTTCCACTTGTCAAGGGGAGATAACTGTGATTTAATGCACTGACTAATGTGCCCCATTGATATTGCAGAACCTGAAGCTTCTGGGTGCAACAGCTATTGAAGATAAACTGCAAGATGTAAGTGGCTCCTTGCTTTCACATATACTTTAAGATATCTGACGATGAGCTAATTGAGACCTGAGAACATTGTTACTGGAAACTGTTCATCTATTCTTCCTACTTCACCACCTCCTCTACTTCATTCTTCTTTTCTTCTTCTCTATATGGCAGCGATGTAGCTGATGTGGTGTTATATGTTAACTCACTCACTCACTCCTATTCCTACTAATTTTATTTTTCTTGTCCGTTTTCTTCTCTTCCTCAGTACCATATCTCTCTTGTTCTCAACCTTCACCTCATCCTGCCTTTCAATCCTGTTTTCTTTCTCTTAATCTTGTATTCTTCCTGATATTCTTATTGGTTTGAAGTAACATTTAAGGTTTCAATGTGTTGTACAGCTGTAATTGACTGTTTTCGTGTAGGGTGTTCCGGAAACTATAGACACACTGAGTAAGGCAGACATCAAAATCTGGGTGCTGACAGGAGACAAGCAAGAGACCGCCATTAATATTGGTATGTACTGTCAAGTGGCATGCATGGGTTCCTTGTATAAGGCTTCAGAAAACTTGCCTTTTATTCCTACTTAGCAGTGTAATAATGAAAAGCAGTAACAACTTGTATCACCTTGTGTTTGAGTTTGAAAAGCAGACAAGATTGAATTTTTAAAAGAAAGTCAAGTGATGTTATTAATGTACTGTTCCTTGGAATGGTTCCTCAGAAACAGCTGAGTAGGCATTTGGGTCAAATAAAAAAGATTCCTGAAAAACATTAATGAAAACATAGGAAGTGACATACATTTTGTGATATCTTAATTTGGGCTTCACATAACTTGCTTTGTGGTGTTTACTGGTGTGAGTTTGTGGTGTTTACTGGTGTGAGTTTTGTGGTGTGTACTGGTGTGAGTTTTGTGGTGTTTACTGGTGTGAGTTTTGTGGTGTGTACTGGTGTGAGTTTTGTGGTGTGTGTACTGGTGTGAGTTTTGTGGTGTGTACTGGTGTGAGTTGTGTGTACTGGTGTGAATTTTGTGTACTGGTGTGAATTTTGTGGTGTGTACTGGTGTGAGTTTTGTGGTGTTTACTGGTGTGAGTTTTGTGGTGTGTACTGGTGTGAGTTGTGTGTACTGGTGTGAGTTTTGTGGTGTGTACTGGTGTGAGTTTTGTGCTGTGTATTTGTTTTGTGAATAGTATTTGTGTTGTTGTTTGTGCTCGTGTGGTGTTTACACTAGTTTTGACTGTTTCAGGATACTCTTGTAAGCTGCTGACACAGAGCCTGGAGCTGATGATAATCAATGAACATAGCCTAGATGTAAGTCTACCTAGAGAAATATCTTCAACAAAGTTGTGGCAGTCAGAGTTCTTATTTGTGCAGTGTACCTTATGTACTGCTTCACTCTCTTAAAACTATACACTGGATGATTCTAGAAGTCAGTGGATATAATACTAGGTAACTCTTACAGAAAAAGTTTTGTTTTGTTAAACATTTGAACTAAATCTGTTACCTACTGCGTGATTTCTGTATGGTTTTTGTAAGTGCTTCAATTTGTGAATTTTCTAAGCAAATAGGCCACCTCTTGTACCTAATACATTATATATGATGTGCATATGAATGTGACATCATTGACAACTACTTACGGTATACTGACTTCATTCCTGCTGTAGAGTACTAGAGATGTCCTCATCAAGAGGAAGCAAGACTTTGGAGATGCTCTCGGCAAGGAGAATGATGTAGCTCTCATTATAGACGGCCAGGTGAGTACCTGTAAGCAGGAATGTTGTTAACGTGCTGCTGTTATATATATCAAGGTCTGATGATGGATGTACTAACCTCACAAGGGTTGTAGGTTTAGTGGATTTCTGGTGATCACAAGAACAAACTGAATCTGTGAAGGGATACAGTTTGATGCACAGAATATGTGACAGAATTGAAACAGCCCTACTAAATATGTATCTTATAATCTTTGATGTCTAACAATACACTGACAATATGTTTAAGTGAATTAAGCTCAGACTTAGTCTTGTAACATAATTTATGTATTTGATGTGCTTTCTGCTTCACATTGTCAAGGCATTCAACTGATAGATCAAGATACTGATGTCAGGTACATGACTGGTTAAGATGTGAAATAACATATTATTCTGTTTATTATCAATACTTTTGTTTCAGACATTAAAATATGCACTCACTTGTGACTGTCGGCACGACTTTCTTGAAATTGCTAAATCCTGCAAAGCTGTTATCTGTTGTCGGTGAGTAAAATTGACTCTATACATTATATGTCGTCATCTAAATATCGGTGTGATGGGTAGCCTAGTTGTTACAGTTTTCGTTTGCCACGCCAACAATGAATTCCCACATGTTTACATTGTGTGAAGCAACTCCTGGCTGACGATGGTGTTTGTTATTCCAGAGTGTCGCCGCTTCAGAAGGCTGAGTTGGTGGAGTTGGTGAAGTCATCACAGAAGGCCATCACCCTCGCCATTGGGGACGGTGCTAATGATGTCGGCATGATTCAGGTACACCTTCAGCTCTTATGATGCTTGTGTTGTCGGGAAACCCAATCTCTCTCTGAAATAGTAACACATTTAATAGGACCAGTTGTTACACTGGAGCATTTTCACATACATTATTAGTACATCATAAATCAGGTTTTTGTTGGACTGCCTCTGTTGTGGATAGGGAGATCGTGGCATCTGAGTAGATTAGTATGACTTAACCAGACTAGTACAAGCAGCGACACATGCAGACATTCACATACACATACATACACATACATACACATAGCTACCTTAGTGCTATAATCTTGAATGTTTCACCTCACTTCATCTCAAAACATCATGTTATAAACATACCCATCTCAAGTAACTGGATGATAGGGACACATTTTGAACTGTGATATTTTCCTTGTGTGAATTGTATCTCTGTTGTGCGTTGACATGTTCCTGGTAGAGTCTGATAAACAGTTACAGTGAGCCCGGGTTTACAGTAAAACCTTGTTTCAGGCTGCTCATGTTGGCGTGGGCATCAGTGGGATGGAGGGACTCCAAGCTGCCTGTGCATCAGACTATGCCATAGCGCAGGTAGGTCATGCTTGCTATCCCCCCGGCATGTAATGTGGGGAAATATAGTCAATGCCTCGTCCGTCTGTCCGTAATCATTTTGTTTCCGGAGCATAACTAAAAAAACGTTCAATATTTTTCAACCCAAAATGGTAGATATATCAAACAGAACCTAATGTGGTGCATTTTGCTATTTACAGATTTTTGTCATTTTATTTTTCTCTGTTTCCATGGAAACGTTTTGGACTTAGTCTTAAAGGGAGGGGTGGGCTTCGTTTCTGGAGAATAACTTAAAAACCGTTTGATATTTTTCAACAAAAATTGGTAGATATATGAGGCAGATCCCAAAATGGTGCCTTTTGCTATTTACAGATTTTTGTCATTTTGATTTTTCCCAGTTCCCATGGAAACGATTCGGACTTAGTCTAAATTGCTAATTCCAATGTCCCAAGATCCAGGTTAGAATTGGTCTTTGGTAACCCATGCTTGTAGTAAGAGGTGACTAACGGGATCGGGTGGTCAGGCTTGCTGACTTGGTTGACACATGTCATTGTATCCCAACTGAGTAGATCAATGCTCATGCTGTTGATCACTGGATTGTCTGGTCCAGACTCGATTATTTACAGACCACCACCATATAGCTGGAATATTGCTGAGTGCTGTGTTATACAACAAACCAACCAACAATGTTCCAAATCTCTCACTCACTATTACGTGTTCCAGTTCCGGTTCCTACAGAAGCTGTTGCTGGTGCACGGATCATGGAGCTACAGTCGCCTATGTAAACTCATCCTGTACTCCTTCTACAAGAACATCTGTCTCTATGTCATCGAGGTAACACACTTGGGATGAAACCTTTCTCATCGTGATAGGGGCAAGGTCTAGATGCCAAATTACTCCCCTTTAGCTGCCAGGATCTGCTGATCATTGAAATCTCAAACCAACAGCATACATGATATCAGTGGCTGTCCTCAGATATTCTTCAGCCGGGCTATGATAACTGAAAAAACATATCACAGTTCATTTACCCCTGTGTGGCTTCTGGATTAGTGTAGGTTGGGACTAAATAGGTCAGTTAGTCCAACTCTGCGACTTGGTTGATGGTGTATCTTTGTCACCTAATGGCATAGATTGTGCCACTGTTGATTGATACTGACACATGAACCACAGTGAAGCTAATAATTCAGTTGTCAGCACTTACTGAATGTTTGAATATGAATTTTTCTCATCCAAGAATTCAGTAACATCCTAACAGTAACATGCACAGTGTAAATATATGTGATTCTCATCCTAATAGTTTCTTTTCAGAAAGCAGCAGGATCCTGTGACTTGATTACTGTAATTTTCCTGATTATGTCTAATATAGTTCTGTGAATCCTCATGTGGGCAGTCTTGGCTGGTTCCCAAACATAACATGCTTGCCATAAGAGGCAACTATCATGAAAATAAGGTGATCACAATGTAGGACAGTTGATGGTGTGTCATCTTTCCAGGATAGCTTGGATTTATAATTGTTGCTCATGCCTTCGACCACTGGTTTGTCTGGTCCAGGATCACTAGTAATGGGTGGCTGTGACATGGCTGGAACATTGCCGACTGTGGCTCCATTAATTCTTAGTGGCATCGTGGAGAGCTGAACATCTGCTCGACTCCGGATCTGCTCCAGATCTGCTCCAACTTCTGTAACACTATGTCATGCTTCTCCTTACTGTCTTCTCTTGCAGCTGTGGTTTGCTATTGTTAGTGGGTTTTCAGGCCAAATTCTGTTTGAGAAGTGGACTCTTGGTTTATATAACGTGGTATGTGGCTACTGGCCCGCCCGTCATTGTACTGTGTCAGTATTGTGGCATGGCTGGACCTTCGTGTACATGTCCTACAACCAGGGGGAGACAACTATTATCAGGGCTCACATCCAGGGGGAGATAACTACTGCCAGGACTCCCATTTGGGGGTAGACAACTAGTGGAAGGGCTCTCATCAAGGGGGAGATAACTACTGGCAGGGCTCACATCAAGGGAAGATAACTACTGGCAGGGCTCACATCAAGGGAAAGATAACTATTGTCAGGGCTCACAACAAAGGGAGACAACCACTGCTAAGGCTCACATTCTCACATTCAGGGAAAAAACAAATACTGGCACCCCCTGTATACCCCTTTTTCAAAATCATCAATGGTAATAATCCCAGCAAATTACATACCTTCCATTACGTCATTGCCATAATCCAGTATTTTAGCTGTCATAACACCTTGCAGAATTTGAGCAGAAGTCCTATTCATTATCAGCAGACCCTAATTAGGGACCGTTCATTATTTATGGCTAGGGGTGGTGGTGATGATTTTTATGGAGAAGCATATACAATGTGAATGACCCCCCCTAGAATTTATGTATAAAATAAGTGACCCCCCTTGCATGTCACGTACAAAATCAGTGACCCCACTCCCCTTCCCATATTTACTAAGCATAATTTTAAATATATTTTTTATATGTACAAAATTGCTGACGTCCCCTAGTACATGTGTACAAAATTGCTGAACCCCTAGCTCCCTAGAACAAAATGGGTGACTCCCCCTTAAAATCATCATCATCATCCCACACACACACACACACACACACACACCACATAAATTATGAATGGTCCCTTAGTTTTATGGATAATAGTTCTCCTCTAACATTGCTATACAAAGTTCAAAATGCATCTTCAAGTCATAAGACACCATTAGAACAGCAGGTTGTTTTGCTTATAGAAAGGTGTGTCCATCATCATCTTGCTCTCTGCTGCAACCGGGTTACAAGGAGTATTGATCTTCAGTAACCCATGCTTGTCGTAACAGGCGACTAACAGGATTGGGTGGTCAGGCTTGCTGACTTGGTTGACACATGTGATCGGTTCCCAATTACGTAGATTGATACTCATGCTGTTGATTACTGGATTGTCTGGTGCAGACTCGATTATTTACTGACCTGGAATATTGCTGTGTGCGGCATAAAACTAAACTCACTCCCTCACTCTTAGCTGCAAATAGAGCTGCAAAATTGCTGATGCGGCTTAAAGCAACAATTATTCACTCACTTATCTTGCCCCATGTTAACATCCATTTACTAGTAGTTTCTTGCAAAAAGGGTTTGCTTTTTTCCTTACACAGAATGATCATCTTACAAGGTCAAAATGTGTTATAAGATACAAGCTACCAGCATAGTGCATAGCACAGCACAACTGGTTGAAATCACACTAAACCAGAACTTAAACAGTTTCTTTGAAAACTGTTAATCAATAAACAAATAAGATTTTTACTGCACTTCTGAGAATATTCACATACACACTACAAACAGAGTCATGGTTCTACTGACCATGACTTGCTGGGAAGGGTGTTGTTCCCAGTGTATTTGATCCGATGTTGTGGCCCCTTGTGTTGTAGTGGTATGTACAGTGTACAGTGTAGCCTGTATCCCCCGTCCGTGTGTACAGCCCACTGTACTATACGTAGTTGGCATGTACATAGCCGTACATAGTACTCAGGCAGACATCTTGGTTCGGAACTGGTCATTTATTATAGGATGGTGGGTCGATGAGATTGTCGTAAACTGTATCATTTTCCTGTCCAAACTGTTATGTAACAGTTTTTCTTGAGTCACCCCCAATTCATATTAAATAGTTTTTAAATAAAAAAAATATTTATTTAAAAAATAGTAATGTGTCTTATTTTTTACATGTTCCCTCCCAGTATAGTGGTGATAATTTTTGGGGCCCCCCTCTATCATTGTGTATTTTTTTCAACCACCCCACCCCTGAATCTCACCGACCCACTACACCTAAAATAAATCACCAGTCCCATAATGCAGCACATGGTTGTCAGGATCATATAGGCGTTAATGTTGTTCATAACAACTCATTTCATATCTGTTTCATTATAGAAATTAACAACTGTTTAGGTTAGTAAAGTGCATTTTTTTGTACAATATCACAGTAAGGAGTCCTTGTAAAAATGTTTAATATTACAAAACAAATGAAATTTTAAACATGATTGATCAAACCAAATAAGTACATTGTTTTCATCATTTTATTTTAAATTTTGGTTTTGTAATTTTAATTTTTATCAAATAAGAAATGAGTTTGCCTTGTTACAGACAGTTTCTATATGATCCTGACCCATGTGTATCAGTTTTTGTGTTGACTATACTGTGTTAATGTCAGTCCTTGTGCATCACCGTCATTTTTATTTTGACAGTTTTGGTTTCAAATAGTGAATGGCTTCTCAGGGCAGATTCTGTTTGAGCGGTGGAGTATTGGTCTGTACAATGTGGTAGGTACCGGGCCACCCGCATGGTCGGATCACAGTAGACATATGACTGCAGACACGCCCACTTCTACAGCCTCTCACACACCTCTGTTAAATTCCACTCGATTCTGAGAGCACCGTAGATACAATATAAGAAAATCATACCTGACAAAAAGAATACAAAAATAAAATAGGAAAATATATTTCTTCATTCCCAAAATTGTTTGATTTTTAATGTTTGAATTGAAACTTAAGTCTGAATTTTTGTTTCCTAAGAAAATATTATTTTCTGATTCAATAGATTCATCATATCATGAATCTGTTTCTTTTTATACTGGAATAATTATTTTAATTGTTTATTTATGTTATTTTGAAGATGAGGAAGATTTTTGGGAGTGAAAGATTTTCATAGATATTTCTATTCTTTTTTTACAAAAGAAGAAATTCATTATGTTTTTTTTTAAATTTCACATTTCTGGATCTCGGATGATTATTTTAATTTTGACAGCAAATGATTTATCTACAAAACCTTATTTTTAATACACAGAGGTGCTGTGGTCTAAAGAGGTTTTTATGTTTGCAGTCATTGAAGATATTATGTTGAAATGTATGACTGTATGTGTGTAAGATATTGGAAGTTGTCAAAGTGACATGTTGAAATGTCTTAGTATTTATCAGATATAGACGTCCGTCAAAGTGACATGTTGAAATGTCTTAGTATTTATCAGATATAGACGTCCGTCAAAGTGAAATAGACATTGCATGTTTATGTTTTAGGATTATGATTTTATTTTCTCAGATTAATTATAGGCTCAAAGAGTATAATGTCATGACAGTGAGTATTATGTATAACAACTTCTCTATTATACTTCGATATTCAAGGGCTTCATCTTTCCCTATCACTCAACTGATGAAGGGCAAGAGGTAGCGCCGAACTTTGTAAACATATGATACAGAAGTTGCTATCCATAATACCCCTTATGTATATCTGACTTCTAAATGCTTATGAAGACTCAACTATAATAAGAACTATATTCTGAAAATGTAATTACTAGACTGAAACAGATTTTCATTCGTACACTATTTACTGTCAAATAATGAGATATATATCCAAACGATGGCTTCGTAATAATCAAGTTTCTACAGTTAAGTAGACTTTTGTGTGTACAAATTGCATGTTACCTCACCCTTCTATTCTAGCAATATATTCTAGTTTGTATTAATAATGTGTGAATCCCCACCCCCAGATATTCACAGCGGCTCCCCCACTAGCAATGGGTTTGTTTGACCGCTACTGCTCTGCAGAGACCATGATGAAAAACCCCACGTTATACAAAGATACCCAGAATGGAAGGTTCTTCAATGTCAAGGTAGGTACATAGTACTGCCAAACGATGATACATAGTACTGCCAAACGATGATACATAGTACAGCCAAACGATGATACATAGTACTGCCAAACGATGATACATAGTACAGCCAAACGATGATACATAGTACTGCCAAACGATGATACATAGTACTGCCAAACGATGATACATAGTACTGCCAAACGATGATACATAGTACTGCCAAACAATGATACATAGTACTGCATAGCGGTGATACATAGTACTGCATAAGCGGTGATACATAGTACCACCAAAGCGATGATACATAGTGCTGCCAAACCATGATACATAGTACCGCCAAACTATGATACATAGTACTGCATAAGCGGTGATACATAGTACTGCATAACGGTACTGATACATAGTACCGCCAAACTATGATACATAGTACTGCATAACGATGATACATAGTACTGCATAACGGTGATACATAGTACTGCATAATGGTGATACATAGTACTGCATAACGGTGATACATAGTACTGCATAACAGTGATACATAGTACTGCATAATGGTGATACATAGTACTGCATATCGGCTGATACATAGTACTGCATAACTTAACGTGATACATAGTACAGCCAAACGGTGATACATAGTACTGCCAAACTATGATACATAGTACTCCATAGCGGTGATACATAGTACTGCATAACGGTGATACATAGTACTGCATAATGGTGATACATAGTACTGCATAACGGTGATACATAGTACTGCATAGCGGTGATACATAGTACTGCATAATGGTGATACATAGTATGGTACTGCATACGATGATACATAGTACTGCATAACGGTGATACATAGTACTGCATAATGGTGATACATAGTACTGCCAAACAATGATACATAGTACTGCAAAACGATGATACATAGTACTGCCAAACGATGATACATAGTACTGCCAAACGATGATACATAGTACTGCCAAACGATGATACATAGTACTGCCAAACGATGATACATAGTACTGCATAAGCGGTGATACATAGTACCGTAAACGATGATACATAGTACTGCATAATGGTGATACATAGTACTGCATAATGGTGATACATAGTACTGCATAACGGTGATACATAGTACTGCATAACGGTGATACATAGTACTGCATAACGGTGATACATAGTATTGCATAATGGTGATACATAGTACTGCATAACGGTGATACATAGTACTGCATAACGGTGATACATAGTACTGCATAATGGTGATACATAGTACTGCATAACGGTGATACATAGTACTGCGTAACGGTGATACATAGTACTGCATAACGGTGATACATAGTACTGCATAACGGTGATACATAGTACCGCCAAAGATATGATACATGATAGTACTGCATAATGGTGATACATAGTACTGCATAATGGTGATACATAGTACTGCATAACGGATTGATACATAGTACTGCATAATGGTGATACATAGTACTGCATAATGGTGATACATAGTACTGCATAGCGGTGATACATAGTACCGCAAACGATGATACATAAGTACTGCATAACGGTGATACATAGTACTGCATAATGGTGATACATAGTACTGCATAACGGTGATACATAGTACTGCATAACGGTGATACATAGTACCGCCAAACGGTGATACATAGTACTGCATAATGGTGATACATAGTACTGCATAATGGTGATACATAGTACTGCATAATGGTGATACATAGTACTGCATAATGGTGATACATAGTACTGCATAACGGTGATACATAGTACCGCAAACGGTGATACATAGTACTGCATAACGGTGATACATAGTACTGCATAATGGTGATACATACATAGTACTGCATAACGCGGTGATACATAGTACTGCATAATGGTGATACATAGTACTGCATAACGGTGATACATAGTACTGCATAATGGTGATACATAGTATTGCATAACGGTGATACATAGTACTGCATAATGGTGATACATAGTACTGCATAATGGTGATACATAGTACTGCATAATGGTGATACATAGTACTGCATAACGGTGATACATAGTACTGCATAATGGTGATACATAGTACTGCATAATGGTGGTTGATACATAAGATACCGTAAAACGGTGATACATAGTACTGCATAACGGTGATACATAGTACTGCATAATGGTGATACATAGTACTGCATAATGGCGATACATGGTACATGCATGCGCACGTGGTGATACATAGTACTGCATAATGGTGATACATGAAGTACTGCATATGGTGATGCATATGGTGCTGCATGGTGATACATAGTGGTGCATAACGATTGATACATAGTACTGCATAAAGGGTGATACATAGTACTGCATAACGGTGATACATAGTACTGCATAATGGTGATACATAAGTACTGCATAGCGGTGATACATAGTACTGCATAGCGGATTGATACATAGTACCGTATAAACGATGATACATGAGTACTGCATAGCGATGATACATAGTACTACATAAGCGATTTGATACATAGTACTGCATAAGCGGTGATGCATACATAGTACTGCATAACGGTGATACATGAAGTACCGCCAAAGCGGTGATACATAAGTACTGCATAACGGTGATACATAGGTACTGCATAACGGTGATACATAGTACTGCATAATGGTGATACATAGTACTGCATAATGGTGATACATAGTACTGCATAACGATTGATACATGGTACTGCATAATGGTGATACATAGTACTGCATAACGGTGATACATAGTACCCGTAAGCGGTGATACATAGTACTGCATAGCGGTGATACATAGTACTGCATAATGGTGATACATAAGTACTGCATAATGGTGATACATAGTACTGCATAAGCGGTGATACATAGTACTGCATAATGGTGATACATAGTACTGCATAGCGATTGATACATAGTACTGCATAGCGGTTGATACATAGTACTGCATAGCGATTGATACATGGTACTGCATAAACGGTGATACATAGTACTGCATAGCGGTGATACATGGTACCGTAAAACGATTGATACATGGTACTGCATAGCGGTGATACATGGTACTGCATAACAATTGATACATAGTACTGCATAACGGTGATACATAGTACTGCATAGCGGTGATACATAGTAATGCAAAGCGGTTGATACATAATTACTTGCATAATGGTGATACATGAATTACTGCATAGCGGTGATACACAGTACTGCATAGCACCGGTGATTGATACATAGTACCGTAAAACGGTGATACATAGTACTGTACTGCATAAACGGTGATACATAGTACTGCATAATGGTGATACATAGTACTGCATAATGGTGATACATAGTACTGCATAGCGGTGATACATAGTGCTGCATAGCATAATGGTGATACATACATAGTACTGCATAAGCGGGATTGATACATAGTACTGCATAATGGTGATACATAGTACTGCATAATGGTGATACATGAGTACTGCATAATGGTGATACATAGTACTGCATAACGGTGATACATAGTACTGCATAATGGTGATACATAAGTACTGCATAGCGGTGATACATAAGTACCGTAAGCGGTGATACATAGTACTGCATAGCGATTGATACATAGTACTGCATAATCGTGATACATGATGTACTGCATAATGGTGATACATAGTACTGCATAACGGTGATACATAGTACTGCATAATGGTGATACATAGTACTGCATAAGCGGTGATACATAGTAGTGCATAACGGTGATACATGAAGTACTGCATAAAGGGTGATACATAGTACTGCATAGCGGTGATACATAGTACTGCATAGCGGTGATACATAGTACTGCATAGCGATGATACATAGTACTGCATAGCGAATGGTGATACATAGTACTGCAGTGCCGTAAGCGGTGATACATAGTACTGCATAGCGGTGATACATAGTACTACATAGCGGTGATACATAGTACTGCATAAGCGGTGATACATAGTACTGCATAACGGTGATACATAGTACCGCAAGCGGTGATACATAGTACTGCATAGCGGTGATACATAGTACTGCATAACGGTGATACATAGTACTGCATAGCGGTGATACATAGTACTGCATAGCGGTGATACATGGTACTGCATAAGCGGTGATACATGGTACTGCATAATGGTGATACATGGTACTGCATAGCGGTTGATACACAGTAGTACTGCATAAGCGGTGATACATAGTACCGTAAAGCGGTGATACATAGTACTGCATAGCGATTGATACATAGCGATTGTACTGCATAGCGGTGATACATGAGTACTGCATAATGGTGATACATAGTACTGCATAATGGTGATAATGGTACATGGTACTACATAGCGATACATGATACATAGTGCTGCATAGCGGTGATACATAGTACCGTAAGCGGTGATACATAGTACTGCATAGCGGTGATACATGGTACTGCATAGCGGTGATACATGGTACTGCATAACGGTGATGCATAGTACTGCATAGCGGTGATACATACAGCCAAACAATGATACATGTTATTGTTATGATTGCCGAAGCACTACCATGGTCTTCAACAATTCATGTCTGTCAATAGAGGCGGAAGCGGGATGGGGTGGTCAAGCTTGCTGACTTGTTAATGCATTTGATTGTACTCAAATTGCACTGATACATGCTCATAATGTTAATCACTGGATTGTCTGGTTCAGATTGATATTTACAATCTCAAATATTGTTCAGTGCAGCATTAAACAACAAATAAACAAAAACAGTTTGACTCCTTTGACGCTGATTCTGTAAGCAGTGCAACAGGATGTTGATGTGTGTGAGTATGGGTGGAGATCTTGCCAGACCTGGATGCTGACATCAGTTTGCCTACCATGTTATGATCCATGCGTGTTGTGTTGTAGGTCTTCTGGTTCTGGATCATCAACTCCATCTTCCACTCCATCCTGCTGTTCTGGCTGCCGTTGTTGTCGCTGAAACAAGGTAGTGACTGATATGTCTCAGGTTCCTAGAGAGATTCCGGTAAGATCAGACGGACAAATATGCTGTATACCAATTGTTGCTACATCTACACTAAAGGGAATCGTGAGGTTTTATAAGTCGGGTTCACTTAGATATGGTCTGTGTGTAAAAGGGCACAGCAAAAAATCTGAGTAAATATATTATTTTGAGGTTACGTTTCAATTGTTGAAAGAGACGAGTGAGGTGTGGTCTTGTCTATCAAGAAAAGACAAGCCCTACACACACATGCAATTGGGATGTATTGTTTTTGGAAAACACAGTTTTCGCTCATTATGCACTGTCCAAAACCTCATCAAGGGGGAAACAAATGGGACAAAACAACTTGATAATTGAGAAAGTCCAAATCTGTGTGAAAGTGTTGCAAGATGATTTACCATTTAGGCTGTATTTTCTGTTCTTCAAGACATTGTTTTAAGTACAGAGATAATTACTCCTTTGATGGGACTGCAAACAAGTACCTCTAGAACCTCAAGTACTTCTTCAATATATAGAATGTTATTGTTCTGCCCACTAAGATGTACTTTCATGTGTTGAATGTTTTTTGTGTGATTATTTGTAAGTATGTTGTGTATCTCTTCAGATGTTGCTTTCTCTGATGGTAAAACTGGGGACTATCTCTTCATGGGGAACTTTGTGTACACAGTAAGTAGAATATCCATCTTCATTATGTTAAACCTAGCATTCTTTAAATGATTCTTTTGTCCAATAATTTTCTTTATTGATCTCTATACTTATGTTGGTGGACATTTTATTATGAATTGAATAAATAAAGAATGGTGATTATGCCATAAATTTAGAAAATGTTCAGTTCTGATAGGTCAGGGTTTCAAATCACAATGATCACCTCTGATTGAAACAGCTGATTCACTATGGATGGTAATATTTTGAAATCATGTTTTATGTATAATTTCTTTACTTTTGTTGCATTTATACATACTTTACAATGCATATAATTGACTATATAAACAAAAGGTGACAAGATGACCAGAATTTAGTAAAAGTTGTTCCTACAAAGTGTTTGCTTGTTTGTGTCAGTATGTGGTGGTGACGGTTTGTCTGAAAGCTGGACTGGAGACAAGAGCCTGGACCTGGGTGAGTATATTGTGTCATGTGAGTTCAGTCTACCTGTCATGTGGGTTCAGTCTACCTGTCATGTGAGTTTGATCTACCCTGACAGGTGGGTTCAGTCTACCCTGTCATGTGGGTTCAGTGTACTGTGTGATACTGGTTGACTCTGTAGTGTCATGTGAGTTCAGCCTATCCTGTCATGTGAGTTCCATCTACCGTGACATGTGAGTTCAGTGTACCATGACATGTGGATTCAGTGTACCATGACATGTGGGTTAAGTCTGCAGTGTCATGTGAGTTCAGTGTACCCTGTCATATGGGTTCAATCTACCTGATATGTGGGTTCAGTGTACCTTGACATGTGGGTTCTGTCTACCAAGCATGTGGGTTCAGTCTACTGTGTGATACTGTTTGAGTCTGCAGTGTCATGTGGGTTAAGTCTCCCCTGTCATATGGGTTAAGTCTCCCCTGTCATGTGGGTTATATCTACCAGATATGTGTGGGTTCAGTGTTCCCACACATATTGGTCCAAAACATATGGGTTCAACCCTAACACAGCTTACTGTAGCATATGGGTTCAGTCTATTATGTCCTGTGAGTTCAGTCTACCATATTACATGAGTACGTTGTAATACCAATTTTATTGTTGGAAATATATGTTTAATGTTGTGATGTATGTTTGTGCAGCTAACCCACCTGGCCATCTGGGGGAGCATCATTTGCTGGTTCCTCTTCCTGGTTGTCTACAGCCACGTCTTCCCCACCGTCAACCTGGCGCCAGAGATGCTGGGAATGGTGAGTTGTGAAAGTCTTCATGCTAAGTTAGGGTGTTTATTTTATCTACTCACCATCACCTGATGACGATCTACCTGATGCTGATGTTACACCAAGTGATGCAACACTCTGTCTGTTTCAGGACCGTCATGTCTACGGCTGCTCTGTGTTCTGGCTTGGCCTCGTCATCATCCCCTTTGCCTCTCTCCTCCGAGACTTCTCCTGGAAAGTGTAAGTGTGATGACGCAAACAGAATCACCAGCTGTCTCTAGGACATGGTCACTAGGACAACCCAAGCTGTCACTAGGACATGGTCTGACCACCAGCTGTCTCTAGGACATGGTCTGAACCCAAGCTGTCACTAGGACATGGTCTGACCACCAGCTGTCACTAGGACATGGTCTGAACCCAAGCTGTCTCTAGGACATGGTCTGAACCCAAGCTGTCTCTAGGACATGGTCTGAACCCAAGCTGTCACTAGGACATGGTCTGAACCCAAGCTGTCACTAGGACATGGCCTAAACCCCCAGCTGTCACTAGGACATGGCCTAAACCCCCAGCTGTCAGTAGGACATGGTTTAAACCCCAGCTGTCACTAGGGCATGGCCTGAAAACCCAGTTTTCACATGAAAATATTGACTATGTTGTTCTAGTATGTAAGTTTGAACACAGTTGTTCAGTAATACAGCTGGGAACTGTGATGTTCTGCCAATAAAACCCCCATCTGTCAGTAGGACATGGTTCTAAACCCCCAACTGTCAATAGGACATGGCCTAAACCCCCAGCTGTCAGTGGGACATGGCCTAAACCCCAGCTGTCAGTAGGACATGGCCTAAACCCCAGCTGTCACTAGGACATGGCCCTAAACCCCCATCTGCCACAAGGACATGGCCTAAACCCCCATCTGTCAGTAGGACATGGCCTAAACCCCCAGCTGTCAGTAGGACATGGTTCAAACCCCAGCTGTCACTAGTGCATGGCCTGAAAACCCAGTTTTCACATGAAAATATTGACTATATTGTTCTAGTATGTAAGTTTGAACACAGTTGTTCAGTAATACAACTGGGAACTGTGATGTTCTGCCAATAAAACCCCCATCTGTCAGTAGGACATGGCCTAAACCCCAACCATCATCAGTAGGACATGGCCTAAACCCCCATCTGTCAGTAGGACATGGCCTAAACCCCCATCTGTCAGTGGGACATGGCCTAAGCCCCCATCTGCCACAAGGACATGGCCTTAACCCACAGCTGTCAGTAGGACATGGCCTAAACCCCCAGCTGTCAGTAGGACATGGCCTAAACCCCCAGCTGTCAGTAGGACATGGCCTAAACCCCCAGCTGTCAGTAGGACATGGTTTAAACCCCAGCTGTCACTAGGGCATGGCCTGAAAACCCAGTTTTAGCATGAAAATATTGACTATGTTGTTCTAGTATGTAAGTTTGAACACAGTTGTTCAGTAATACAACTGGGAACTGTGATGTTCTGCCAATAAAACCCCATCTGTCAGTAGGACATGGCCTAAACCCCCATCTGTCAGTGGGACATGGCCTAAACCCCATCTGTCAGTAGGACATGGCCTAAACCCCCATCTGTCAGTAGGACATGGCCTAAACCCCCATCCCCAGCTGTCAGTAGGACATGGCCTAAACCCCCAGCTGTCACTAGGACATGGCCTAAACCTCCATCTGCCACAAGGACATGGCCTAAACCCCCAGCTGTCAGTAGGACATGGCCTAAACCCCCAGCTGTCAGTAGGACATGGTTCAAACCCCAGCTGTCACTAGGGCATGGCCTGAAAACCCAGTTTTCACATGAAAATATTGACTATGTTGTTCTAGTATGTAAGTTTGAACACAGTTGTTCAGTAATACAACTGGGAACTGTGATGTTCTGCCAATAAAACCCCCATCTGTCAGTAGGACATGGCCTAAACCCCCATCTGTCAGTAGGACATGGCCTAAACCCCCATCTGTCAGTAGGACATGGCCTAAACCCCCATCTGTCAGTAGGACATGGCCTAAACCCCCATCTGTCAGTAGGACATGGCCTAAACCCCCAGCTGTCACTAGGACATGGCCTAAACCCCCAGCTGTCAGTAGGACATGGCCTAAACCCCCATCTGTCAGTAGGACATGGCCTAAACCCCAGCTGTCAGTAGGACATGGCCTAAACCCCCAGCTGTCAGTGGGGACATGGTTCAAACCCCAGCTGTCACTAGGGCATGGCCTGAAAACCCGGTTTTCACATGAAAATATTGACTATGTTGTTCTAGTATGTGAGTTTGAACACTGTTGTTCAGTAATAAAACTGGGAACTGTGATGTTCTGCCAATAAAATAGAAGTATGAAAGTGGGACCCATGCTGCTTCATTGTACTGATTGACCTGATCAACTTGCAGTGTACGGAGAACCTACTTCAAGACCCAGAGACAGTATGTCCAGGAGATGGAACTGGCCAATAAAGAAGCCATATTGAATGGATCTCCTAAAAAGAAGAGGTGAGAGTTGATGGCAGATATCAGCCCTGAACTTTAAAAGAATAAATAAAATAAATAAAGGACCAATCTCATCTCTTAGCTGGCATATGCACATTGCAGATCTGAAGCAAACTTGGGAATTTTCATTTCAAATATAACTTTGGTGTGATCTGATTGTGATAAGAATTAGTGTATTTTTGCGACTCTTCAGTTTTTTCTCAAATTTCTATTTCAGACCGATAACAGAGCGAGCACGTCTTCTTGGATGTTCATTCTTTGGGCGGTCGGCAGGCAGAATACCACCCTCTTCAAATCAACCACGTAAGTTGACCTGCACAGTTTAGAGTAACCTCCCCTTGTTTTGGGCTGATCAAAGACCTACCTAAGTTTACCTGGCTATGTAGTGCAGACGTAACATTATCACTTTACCCTCTGTATTCTGTAGATAGGTCGTACTGAGCTAGTTAGGATTCAGGCCTTCTGTCTGGAAGCTGTTGTGGGCAGGTCAACTGTAATAGCAGTTTGAGATTGCGATTCTTTTTAATTTTTTTTAATCAGCCATCATCACTGTTGTTCTGAGGAATCAGTTTATTTGACTTTAAGGTAACAAATAACAATTCCCACAGAACATACAGTATGTTCAAGATCAATTTATCAAAATATAATAACAGTTCCAAATATCAAAACCTTGGTGATAGTATTTTTTTTATCAAACATTTGTCATATATTTGAGTTTGAGGGTGAGAATTTATTTATCGTCCATCTGTTTTTGTTCATAAACTAAACAGCTTCAGCTACAAGTATATTAGGGATGACACTCATTGTGCATCGTGGGAACTGCTTTTTGTAGCCATTTCATCTCATCCAAGCATATCTCCTTGGCATGTTTTGGATGATAAATTCTAATCTCACTTCCACTAAAAAACATTCAGCTGCCCAACTGCCTTGGGTTATCAGGAGACACATTGTCCAAGAATCAAGGTTTTCTTTTATGTCTTATGAGATTTCTATCTATCAACAATCTTCTTTTCTTCTTTAATGTAACGAATATCCATTTTGGTTTACAGCCAGTGCAGAACGTAATTGATTTTTTGTACATGCTGCTATTCCCTCTGCTGCATTTCAATAGTTTTTACAAAAAGCTTATTTCATTGTTCATGTCTGAGTCGCTCATTTGGGAAAGGTAGACTTTATGAAATAAATAATACAGTTGTATAAAATATGTTTATATTGCTTTAAATGGCAATGTGTATATTTGAATGATCCACTAACTTCCATTCAAGATAAAACATATACAGTGGACTCTGTCAATACCGGCCTCTGTAAACACCGGCACTCTGTCTATATCGGCACAAAGTTTCAGTCCGACCAGCGAACTTATCATAAAGCGAACCTAGCTAAACCGGCACTCTGTCAAAACCGGCATTTTTATTTGGTCCGACTGATGCGGTATTGACAGAGTACACTGTATTACACGAATTTGCATATTTCCAATTTATGTTAAAAATAAAAATTCACTTATATCCAAAGTCAATATTCAAAAGTATCTTTTTCTTGAAGAAATGACAACCTCACGTCTTTTGACAGGTGAGCAGTTCCAGACTTCATCTGCTCAACCTCAACCTCAACCTCCCCTTCTCATTCCCTAACCCCATTCAAAGTCACGGAGCAGAGTTATGTCCCTTAATGATGTCAGGATCTTCTGTGTTCAAATCAGGGATTTCCATGGCTGATGCTTGGCCTGTTAGTGCTGGCTGGTTTGACCCACCACTTCCCCACCATATTAAGCAATAATGTTATTGAAATATTTCTCAATGCTGTGTTAATCCCAACTCCTCACTCTGACTCACTCACTCACTCACACTTACTCAACCAATCAACCAATCAACCAATCAACCACTCACTGAGTCTGACAATCATGACTGATGTCCCTGTGTGGCTTGTTACAGGCAGTTACACAGCTTTGCACTGCATACAATAAATGATAGCCATATGTTTAAATAGGCTAACTTAAGGCATCCCAATGATGCCAATCGGGTCCACCACCTGTGATGACCACATGTGCTGTAGTTAACACATTGACTGCCTATCACGACTATACTCGTAGTATCAATTCTGGCTGGGTTTGCCACTATGAGTTATCTCGTAGCTATATCAGTGGTATTTTAAAACAAGTTTCACATGTTGGCAAAACAGGCACAAAAAGCAATCGTCTGTTTGTTTCTTGTGCCTGAATTGATACTACGAGTATACTCGTAATAGGCAGTCAATGTGTTAAACAACACATTGATCACATGGATCCTTGCCCTTTGTCTGGCAGATCCCTATCCCCATAGTTTGGAAAGATCCTTGTCACTTGGATGGATCCTTGTGCTTTAGTCAGATGGATCCTTCTCACTTGCAGGGATATTTGCCCCTTAGTTGAAGGGATCCTTGTCACCCAGTTCAAGGGTAAAAGTGAAGATCTGGGTTAGAATTGGTCTTCAGCAACCCATGTTTGTTTTAGGAGGCGATTAACAGAATTGGGTGATCAGGCTCTGCAGACTTGGTTGATGCATGTCTTTGCATCCCAATTGTGTAGATTGTAGCTCGTAATGTTCATCACTGGATTGTCTGGTCCAGATTTGATTATTTACTGACTGTTTTCATGTAGCTCAAACATTGCTAGATGCACTGTTAAACAACAAACAAACAAAGTAGTTGTACTTTTCTCTCACTAGTGGGTCATGCACAAAGACAAATTTTAAAAATCCCCTTTTTATGTTTCAATTGGCAGAGTGTTCCCTCCAGTAGATCTGATTGGAAAAAAGTCTCTGTGTTCAGATCTAATTATTCTTCAATGTAGGAAAGTACAGTATGCTCAGACGATGAATATAAAACATTACTGATTCATAGGGGGTTCTGTGACAGATCAAATAGTGTTAACATCAAAATTTGAAGATTTCCTATCATGTTTTATTATGAATTATGTATTTTTTCTTCAGAGGATTATCTGTTTGTTACAAGTGCATGATGCTGTAATTCTCTGTTGTATTGAGATATTTTAAGAGATGTACCAGTATATAATATTGGTAGTTGGTAGTGTCAATGTAATTTCTTATTTTTCAAATGTTATTATTTTATGAGTTATTTTATTCAGAATTACATACATTTTTATTCTTGGAATTAGTACTATTTATATTTTGTAGTATAAATTTGTGTTTTAAGTCATTAGTAATTAGTTTTGTGAAGACAGTATCAACAATTGCATATTTTGAATCTAAGGATCAAAGGGCACAAAAGATTTGGTTTGACAAAATTGTTTATTTGCTCAATAAGAATTGAAAAACTAATGTCGTTATTCTTCTTCAACTTTGCAACATTAAGCATTTAATATTAAGTATAACATTGTTTTCGCAAACTTACATCCTAATTTGTGTTTCTCACTTGAAATTAACAATTGCCATTCACATTATTTTTGTATTTTGGAAGATTTTCGATAACACTTTACTCATGCAGAGTTGAAATGTCTTCTTAAGTTGTTTAATTGACAGGGTTGATTGTCATTCACACTTCATTTGATGGCCCACATTGTCCTGAACTTATGCCTCATATTTTGTGTAGTTATATGATTTATCACCCACCCACGTAGATGGTGCTAGTGTTGTTTGTTGTAAAGTGTTGAGAAGTCACAGAAGAGAGCTACAAGGATAGGCTGTAGTTGTACAACTGTCATAGTGGCAAGCATTCATTTCACATCTGGTTGGGTTGGGCTTTTCAAAAACATATTATGGGGTGAAGGATGATGTGGTTAATGTCAGATGTGGACAAGTTGATCCCCTGTGTGCTTTGTTGGATGAGGCGCTGTGGGGTAGCCTAGTGGTTAAAGCGTTAAACAAATCGTCAGAGTTGCCCGAAGACCGGGTTCGATTCCCCACATGGGTACAATGTTTGAAGCCCATTTCTGGTGTCCCAACCGCGTGATATTGCTGGAATATTGCTAAAAGCAGCGTAAACCATACTCACTCACTCACTCACTTTGTTGGATGAAGTATCATGTGTGTTTAATGTCAGATGTGGACTAGTTGATTCCCAGTTGATGGCATCAAGTTCATGCTATTAACCATCAGCCTGCATTTTGGCTTGACAATTGCAAGGCACAAGGATGAATGCCTCTGTATTTGTTTGTTTTGGGTGGTTTCGGTTTGGGTCGGGTGGGGTTTCTCTTTATTGTGTCTGTCTGTGGGTTTGTGGCTAAATAACAGCAAGTCACACATAAAATATGAAAAATATACATATATTTCTCCTAACATAGCATCATTTCATTCCTCAACTTGGAAACAGGTACAAAGTTCAGTGTTTGATCAGTCGCATCAAAGATTTGTGTGAATGACCTTGAACTCCCTTGCAATTTTTGTGGCCACTTTATTTTTTACAATGTGCATGCTTGTTTTAAACAGCCATCACCCACTATGTCAAGTAAGTTTGGTCGTAGTACTGAGTCTTTGCGTGTTGTTGCTCACCTGTTGCCATGACAACAAATACTAACACAACTTCGCATATTGATAGCACTACTTGGGAGATGGTTATTAACAATCAGTTGACAGTATTGTTTTTTTTATAGCCAGATGATTGTGCCTAGGATTTTGTTTGCACTTATTCAGCCAATTTATTCTTCACTAAGAGTTTTTAAAATTGGTAAAATCTCTTTGGGTTAGGCCTATTCTTATTTTTTTGGTTTTTGTAGTTTGAGATATTTGGGTTTTCTATGCAATATTTCAACAATATTTGGTTCTTAAAATAAGCTTATTTTAACCTTTTCTTGCTATAATTTTTTAATTTTTTTATCTTTGCCAAGAACTTCGGAAACTTAAACTAGCTCAACAGGTATTTTCAAACTGACAGCCAAAATTGTTTAGTTGTCTCTATGTTTTTTATTCATGTTTGTTTTTTAGCCTCTAAACAGGGCTAAGAACATATTGATTGTACCCATTTTGTACTGGTCAAGAAAACCAGACAAGGAAACAAACTGTTCTTCTGACTTGTAAACAAAACTAAACAATTCTTTTTTTTGTCAGAACTGTTTGTGTTTACTTTTTGGCCGTCCTGATGGAAATGAAATATTCATACATCTTTTTTCAATCAGCGTATTAACTGTAAGTAGTTATGTAACAAAACATACTACTCAACAATTGCTAAGCACCAAAATGTCACCTTCAAAGGTGTGGTCCTTAACAAATATTGAGTACTATCGTGTGGTCACAGCCAATCAATTATCTGATCTTCACAGTGATAACAGAACACAAAGGATAATGTACCACTATGAGCATTAATTTGTGAAT